CCTTGCTGTGGGAGATCCTGTCTGTGTAGCTGCTCTCCTGGTCCCTTGGGGAGCAGCTGCAGTGCGCCACTGCTATTCTTAGCTGTGAAGACAGTGTGCAGGTACGTGGCCCAGCAGAGCTGGAGCTGGAGCACTGCTCCCTGCCCAGCAGATCTCAGATAAATTATCCAGAGGATCTCAGGAGTGTGTAATTGAGTAGGGCTGCCACAGGCTGTGCTTCCAGCTATGTACACTCTGCTCTGCAGCGGGGCCCAGTAATTGCTTGTTCCCCAGAAGCCAGGAGCGCTGGGTTGTCACAAGTGATTGTGCCCTCTCAGATTTTGGAGGGACTCCTCAGATTCAGTTAAAGGATTTCATGCTTCCTGCTTTCCTGGTGGGAGGCTGCATACGTCAAACACTTATCCCCCCCTTGGCTATTTTTCCTATCCTAAAGATGTTTTGCCACCTCATTTCTGGGGCAGTCCATTCTTTTAACACAGGATTGAAAAGATGCTGGGGTGGTGCCTTGGGGACATCTTGAGCAGTGACTGGCTCTGTTCAGATCTGGTCTTAGTTCCTCCAGAGTGAGCTGTTTTCTAATGGAGCGAGCATCAATAAGTCTTTTTTCAGCACTAACCAAGCAGAACCTTGATTCTCCATCAGGCCTCACCGCTGCTCTGGGATGTGCTAACAGCTACAACAAGCCACAGGGGGATGCCCCTTGTAGAGCATGACATCCCCATCTGTGATGGATTCAGGGCAGGCCACGCTGTTGCATCTCACTAACGGGCTTCACAGTCTGCATGGCCATCTGCTTCCCACTGCCTCTGTCCTGTCCCGCTGCTCCGGAGCCAGCTTGGCTCTCCCTTGGCTTTCAAAGGACAGGCCTGGCCAGGGGCCCAGCCAGAGCTGCATGTTGCTTGCACCCTGGTGCCGGGTGTCAGCGCTGCTGGCTGGCAGCCCTGCTGGCAGCAGCGCTGGGTGAAGGCTGTGGCTGCTGACCTGACTGACGGCGCCGTGTCCCTCTCTCTCTGCCGCAGATCGGGGGACCACTCTCTGCCCGGATCTTCCGTGTCCACGGACTTTGGGAGCTGGCAGATGGTGACAGGGTGCGGCAGTATTCGGGAGCAGGCAATGCTGGGCGCGGACGCCTCTCTCCCTTGCAGCTTCCCGGATGAGTTCCCGAGCACTTGCCTGTAAGTGTCTCAAACGCAGCATCTCTCTCCTCGGGGCGCTCTCTCGGCTGACTGCGAGCGCTGGGACTCGATCACCCTGGCCCTTTGAAGAAGACAGTTAACAAACTGTCCCGTCTTCCTGCCTCGATGCTTTCCATCCACACATTCCATCGCTGAGCACTCTTGGCTTATGCTGAACTGGGAAGAAACCGGCGTTTTCTCTGCTTAATGATTGGGGGGCACTTTGCTTTCTGTAGGAAGAAGAGGCTTTTCTTTCTTCCCTGAAGATGCTGAATTTGGGCATGATTGAGTGCATTTGAGAATGCATGCTTGTCAAGACAGGACTGCTAACCCAGATTGCCTTGCTTTTGGATCTTGCTCATCTCCATCTCCCTGCTGGGGCAGATCCTTGCTGCAATAAGAGAGGGGCTTTTCTCCTGTAGCCCCAGTTTTGGCATCATTTGCAGGGGCTGCATGTGGCCAGTGCAGAGCAGCAGAAACCCTGCATCCTGCCATGTAAAATGGCTGGGGGGTAATGTTCTCCTCCAAATAGAAAGCCACCTCTGTGGAAGCTTGAAAGACAGGAGATGCGCTTTAATTGCTGTTAGAGGAGAACCTTGGCTTGTGCCTTCAGGCTGCAAACTCTCAATCAAGAAACTGAAATGGCAGATGAGGAGCTGCTGCTTGTTAGCTGGGCAAGAGCTGTGCTGACAGTCCCTTACTGAGATCCAAGTGCATGCTTTGGAGGCAGAGGGCAAGTGATGTGTAAACCAACATCTGCTGTGGGACAGGCTCGCTGCCTTCTTACGTGGCTGTGCCACTGAGCAGCTGCCCCCAAGCTATGGTGAAGATACAAGACCCATGAATTGGCAGAGGAAAATGTCACAAGAGATGTGGACGTAGCCTGGCTGGGATTTGGTCCCCTGCTTTCCTGAGGATACACTGAGCTGCTCCTGCAGTTGTCTGGGGAAGGATGTGCATCTGAATTAGTGACTGCTTAACTGTGTCCTGGATCTGGCAGTGCTCGGTGGCTGCTGATCACCACTGAGTGGTTGCTGCTCTTGAAGCTGGATCTAACATCAGAATAGGGAATTGGGTAGAGAAACATGAATGGAAGTTGACCCTGAATCTGCCTGTGCTGAGACCATGGGCACAAGTGGTGCTTGGGACAGCCAGCTTCAAAGGGAGGGGAAAAGCATCAGTGCTGCAAGTGCTCTGCCCTGTTCAGCTCCTCACTAGAGCTGTGGGGTGCTGTGGGCACCACTCTGGGTGCTGGACCAGGCGCTGTGTGGAAGGGATGGGATGTTCCCAGGGGCGCTGTGTTGAGCTTAACCCAGGCCCTCCTCTCTCTTCAGCTCTGCATCAGCTCTGTTTGCTCAGGAGCCCATTGTGGCTCCGGGCTTTATCCCAGTTTTTCACAGCCCAGCACAGTATGAGGGGTTTGGAAAATTAAATTCCATTTAAGTTCCCACTTTACATCTCAGCTGGCAGCAGCTCCACGAAGGTACGCTTGTCACAGCCTACTTCTTGTGCTTGTGTGGGGCTTGTCAGGGCTTACTTTGTGCTGGGGCTTTGACAGCCTCCTCTCATCCTGCACCCCAAGCTGCAGACGAGCGGGTAGGAAGTGTAGCAGGGCAGAGTTTGGCAGGGAAGCAGGACCTGCCTCCCTGGTTGAACTGCTCCAAGCCCAATGCACCCATCCTGCAGGGCTTGGTGGCAGGCAGTGCCAGGCTCCTTGACCTCAGAGTGTCTCACTCTAGGAAAGAAACCTAAAAACCTCAATACTAAACCTGCCCTGGAAAAGAGGTGCGAGAGCCAGAAACCACGGGACCCAGCGGCTGCACGCCCTCGCTTACCTCTGCCTGTGACATTTAAGATCACTCCACTCGGATACAAACAAGCCCTGCTTCCCTGCAGCTTATTTTTACTGCTGGCAGGTTTGTGAGTTCCACGTCCTAATTAGGTTGCCAAAAAAGCATCTTTTTAATGTGTTTAGATGTGTTGCCTCTATTTATTTATTTCTTTCCCTTTGCCCTCTGTCTTCTCTTTATTATCAGACACTGTAAACAGCGGCCTGGTTGGCTGCCTCGGCACCGCTTGCTGTTTATAGCCCTCCCACCAGATCCTCTTGCTGCTGTTTCCGGACCGAAGCTGTTGGCTGTGGGTGGTTAACACTTCCATTCAAATGAGCTGTGCCAATTTATAGCCAGCCCAGGCGCTGGAGAGATTAAAGGGAATATTTGATGGGGAAGGTTCGCGCTGTGCCCTTGGAGTGACCTTTGAGGAATGGTTTGTTCTCCCTGGGAACCACCGGCACGCCGCTGCAGCAAGGACCGGAGTGTTTGGAACAGCCCCCTCTGAACCCGGGTCTTGCTTTTTGCCTGCTCCCGTGGCTGAACTAATCTCTTTCCCTCTGCTCTCATCCCCCTGCCCACAGGCAGATGCATGGATGAGCTGGAGAGGAGAGCAGGTCCTGGGGGAAGCCGTGCCCTACTCTGCACACAGCCCTCCTGTTTGCAGAGAGCAGATGTGAAACACCGCTTAACTAACCTCTTTCCACAGCAGGAGCCCTCCTTGGGGCTTTTGTCACCTTCTCTGCCTCCTCTCATCACCCCTTCCCCACTGCTGGCTGTGCTGGGGGCAGTGGATGTGAGGGATGGCCACAGATAGGTTGGAAGTGATTGTCTACACATAGCTCCACCTGGCAATGTTGAGTGAGGAGGGGAGGGAGCTGGCGCAGGGGCTGACATCAGTGTGGGGAAGGCAGCACTTTCTGTATGAACCATGGCCTCGAAGCACTGTGGTGGTGATGGGAGAAGCTGGGGGGAGTGGTGAAGGAGGAGACCAAGGGGAGAGCTGGAGCTTGGGACTGAGAGGCTCCAAGGGAGAGCATTGGGTTGTGTTGGACAAGTCATGGAGGCATCTGCTCTAGTGCAGCCTTTTGGAGCTGGTGCTGCCTTGGCCACCATCACCAGCTGAGCACCACAGCCCTGCTGATGCTGTGGACAGAGCCCTGGCCTTGCTGCCAGCCTCCTGCCCCACACTGGAGTGAGGGCTGGGATGGGGAGAGGGATGCTGGCCTTGCTGACCTCCCCCTTCTCTCTCCTAGGCTGGTGTCGGCGAGCGACCGCGAGTCCCGGCTGGAAGAAGTGCGTTCCTCCTTCCTGGCCAGCTACAGCCGCACCATCGGCCTCAAGGCCGTGCCCCCCAGCCCCTCGGGGGCCATCGGGGGCCTCCTCGAGCAGTTTGTGAGAGGTGTGGGACTGAGAGGCAGCAGCACGCTCTGAGCACAGGAACCAGTGCCTGGACAACCGGGGCTGGCGGGACCCGTCCTTGGCCAAGCCCTGGCACCCCCCTTCTTGGTGCGGGCACCTGCAGCACCCACCACCGGCTTCCCCCTGCCTGGGGCTGGGGGCTCGGGGGTGCTCCGGCCCATCTCTGCTGTAAATCCCCCCAGTAAACCCCCCGAGCTGTGCCCTCTCCTGCCTCCTGTCTGGGTTCGGCCGGCGGGAGCTCGCTATTTATAGCCCGGCCCACGCTCCGGGAGCCGCGGCACCGAAATAGCACCGAGCCGGGACCGGGAGGGAGCCCCGGGCGGGGCGGGGATGGGATGGGATGGGATGGGATGGGATGGGATGGGATGGGATGGGATGGGATGGGATGGGATGGGATGGGATGGGAGGGGGGATGAACCGGCGCTGGACCGGGCTGGGGAGCGGAGCTGGGTCCGCAGCCCCGGCCTGGGGGTCCCGCTGGGGCTGAGCCGTAGCGGGTCGGGCCGGCGGCGGCTGCGGGTCCCCGGGGCGGTGCTGCCGGCGGGGCCGGGGCTCTGGGCTGTGCCCGTGCCCGCCCCCGGGCGCGCCCGCCTCGGCGGCGCGGGAGGAGGAGGCGGCGGCGCGGAGCAGCGGCGGCGCCCGGGCGGGGATGGCGTCTCCGGGAGCGCTGGAACCGGCGGCCGGCAGCGTGCCGGGTACCAAGGTGGAGCTCACCGTGTCCTGCCGGTGAGCCGGGAGCCGGGCGGGCCGGGGCAGCGGGCGGGGGGCTGGGGGATGCGCTGCGGGGTGCCCCTGTCCCGCAGCATCCCGCTGCTCCCCGGGCTCAGGAGATGGAAGGGGAGGGCTTCGGGTCCCCCTCGCTCCGTGGGCAGCGCTGAACACTCGGGTTTTACCCGTGGGGAGAGGTCCCGTCCGCGCCGCGGGGTCCCGAGGGATGCGGCACCAGTCTCGGCGGGACCCGCTGCTCGTACCGGGGCTGGGGTGTGCGGTGGCCCCGCTCAGCGCGGTGCTCGCCGGGGGTCGGTGTTGGCTACGGGCAGCTCCCTGCGAGGCGCCGGCGCCAGCAGTGGGGCAGCGCTGGATGGTGGTGGGACGGGGGCTATAGGAGAGATGCTGCTCGGTGCTCTGCTGGGTCCATGGGGCAAGCAGTGGCTGCTGAGCGGTGTCAGTGGCTAAATATAGCCCCGGCAAGGTACCGCTGCCCTCGGTACCCGCAGCCAGGGGTCTTGCCCGCGGGGACCAGCACCAGCATCACCGTGCAGGGAGTCGGGAAATGCTGGTGGCTGCCCCATAAAGCCCCAAGCCCTGCAAACTCCAGTCTGCCCCTGCCAGCCCCTTTGGGCAGTGGGGCTGTGGGTCCATGGGGCCTGGTAAGTCCGGGCAGGAGCCAGGATTCACTCCCGGAGATGCCCCAAAGCATGGGCAGGATTCAGGTTCAGAGCCCGGCAAGGGCTCAGGACTGCTGGGGCAGCCTAGGGGGGGGTCTGTGCCCTGTGTGCCATGGCTGAGCCCCCAGCCATGCTCCAGCGCACCCCGTGTGCAGGAAGGATCCCAGCGGAGCCGCTCGCAGGCACTTGCAGCCACTGGCACTTTCCAGGGTCACACTGTGCGGAGGACAGTGATCAATGGCTCTGCTGGCAGCCGTGCAGGGCTCGGAGCTGCCCAGCCCCTGCTGCAAGTGTCTCCTTTCCTCCCAGTCCTGCGCCCTGCCATTAGCCACAGTGGGCACTCCGCCGGCGCTGGCGGCACAGGGGAAGGTTTCATCTTCTAAATGGGTTCTCTGTCATGTTCAATCATCGTCAGCGCTGGGGACACTGCTCCTCACTCGTGCTGCTGTCCCAGCAAACGCTGCAGTGGGGACCAGTGTGTCCCCACAGGGTGCCAGTTGTGGCCTGCTGGTGTGGTGCTATCCCACGGTCAATGGGGAGGGCAGGGGGAGCTGCTGTGGGGCTGGGTGGTGGCTCATGCATGGCTCTGCTCCTCCAGGAACCTGCTGGACATGGACACCTTCTCCAAGTCTGACCCAGGTGGGTGGCAGGGACAGGAAGGGCATGGATGATCACGGCACGATGGCACAGCTCTACTCCTCTCTCCGCAGTGGTGGTCCTCTTCGTGCAGGGCTCAGGCAGCAGCGAGTGGAAGGAGGTGAGCACAGACCCTGTCACCGTGTGCCTGGGGGGGGGCACCACCACTGTCCCCGCTCCTGGCTAATCCCCGCCTGGGCTAAACAGACCCATATGGCCCCCGCATCCCTGCTCATGATCCCTCCGTGTCCATGATAATGATGCGGCCGTGCCGGCAGCGCTAATCCCACACCAGGATTATTGCCGGGGCAGCAGCGATGGGGAGGGCTCCTGGGGGATCTGCTCTCACCCCTCTCCCCGCAGTTTGGGCGCACTGAGGTCATTGACAACACCCTGAACCCCGACTTCGTGCGCAAGTTTGTGCTCGACTACTACTTTGAGGAGAAGCAAAACCTCCGCTTCGATGTGTGAGTAAGAGCGGCTCGGCTCGGGGTGGAACGGGCACCGATAATAGGGTAATGAGGCACAGGGGAACAAGGATATGGCAGGGAAAAGCCTGGATGGGGGGGAAGCAAGGCTGTGTGCCAGGGTACCCCTCAGGCACCGGCTCAAGGCTCTGCTCTCCCATCACTAGCTACAACGTGGACTCCAAGAGCTGCTCCATCTTAAAGCAGGTGAGCACAGGGTGTGCAGTGACACTGTGGTGGGGCACCCCCAGGCTGTGCCCTATGTGGGTGCTGTCAAGGGGAATGCCCCTCAGAGGGCTCTAACCTGCTTCTCCATCTCTCTATGCCCCATGGGGACTGGCAGAAGGTAGGTGCTCACCATGCACCAGCCTCTGCTCTGCCCTGGGAACATGGTCCTCATGGGGGGGCCTGGTGGGGCGGGGTGCAGGATGGGGATAGGACACACTATGGGGGTACAGGGTGGGTGTAGGTTGGCTCAAGGGGTGCGGGATGGGTTTGGGCAATATGGGGTGGTGCTGGAGGGATGCGTCCAGGGGATGTGGGGTGGTTTGGGGGGCACAGGATCAGTTCAGGGCACAAAGAGGAAACACCTGGGAGCGGTGGATGGGTCCAGGGCTGGCTCTTGGGGCACAAGGTGTGTGCAGGACACTGCGTGTCCCCCAAGCAAGGTGATGGCAGGTCCCTGGGTGGTGGGGTGCGATTGTGGGGAGCACGGCAGGAGCCCCAGTGTCTCACAGTGCTGTGTTCGGGCACAGGACTTCCTGGGCCAGGCATTTGTGGCACTGGGAGAGGTGATCGGGTCCCAGCGGGGCCGCCTGGAGAGAGCCCTCACGTGAGTCACCCCATGGTGGGGCAATGGGGGGGGTCCAACACCATGTCCCAGCCACCCTTCCCATCACACCCCTCTGCCTGTCCCCTGTTGGGGACAGCGGACACGCTGCCGCACACCTTGATCCCCATCCCCACCTCCTGCCCCTGTCCCGTCCTCCTTATCCCCAAGCCGAGCAGGTTCCTCTGGTCCCAGGGGTGTCCCAGGGAAGCGCTGTGGGACCATCCTGCTGCTGGCTGAGGAGCTGAGCAACTGCCGGGTGAGTGCTGGTGTCCCAGTACCGGCCAGGCAGGGGCTGTGTTGGTGCAGGAGGCATCCAGCAGTGATGTCCCTGTCCCCAGGACATCGTCACCATGCAGCTCTGCGCCAACAAGCTGGACAAGAAGGACTTCTTTGGGAAATCCGACCCCTTCCTCGTCTTCTACCGCAGCAACGAGGACGGCACGTGAGCGCCGGGGCACGGCGGGCTGGATGCGGTGCCGGCCTCACCCTGACCCTGCAGCACGCCCCAACCCTGCCCTGTCCCCGCAGCTTCACCATCTGCCATAAGACAGAGGTGGTGAAGAACACGCTCAACCCGGTGTGGCAGCCTTTCACCATCCCCGTGCGTGCCCTCTGCAATGGCGACTATGACCGGTACGGGGATGGGGATAGGGGCATAGCAGAGTTTGAGCATCTCTTAGGGTATGAGCATCTTTTAGGGTATGAGCTTCTCTCAGGGTATCTCATCTTTTAGGGTATGAGCTTCTCTCTTTAAGGTGTGAGCATCTCAGGGTGTGAGCATCTCTTAAGGTGTGAGCATCTCTCCTCAGCGACAGACAGCTCAGAATTGGGTCCTTATTGGGTTTATTTTCTCCTCTTTTGCAACCCAAATTACATAAAGGCATCCCCCTCCTTTCCAGGGCCCCCGCCATGACCCAAATTTCCCTCTTCCCTCCCGGCAGAGCTGCTCTGCCTGCCTGCAGGCAGGGTGCTGGCCATGGGGCTGGCTGTCCCCATACCCTGGGGGGGGGTTCAAAGTGGGGGCTGTGCCACCCATGCTGGCAGCTCACCCACTGCCCACCTTGGCTTTCAGGACGGTGAAGATCGATGTGTATGACTGGGACCGGGACGGGAGGTGAGGCCGTGCCCGTGGGGTGGGGGGGGCACATGGGGTGCCCCTCACCGTGGTGCCTGGCCACGCTGACCCCACACTTCTCCCACAGCCATGACTTCATTGGGGAGTTTGCCACCAGCTACCGGGAGCTGTCCCGAGCACAGAGCCAGTTCACAGTGTACGAGGTAGGGCAGGGGCAAAGTGGGGGGGGGGGGCTATGGGGCACCCCACACATGCTGGGGCTGACCCAGTTGTGCTCCCATAGGTGCTGAACCCCAGGAAGAAGTGCAAGAAGAAGAAATACGTGAACTCGGGCACCGTGAGTGGGGCTGGGTCTGCCCTCCCCAACTGTGTGTGCTGAGGGCAGGGGTTCAGGTCTGACCCCCCCATTCCCGCAGGTGACGCTGCTCTCCTTCTCCGTCGAGTCCGAGTTCACCTTCGTTGACTACATCCGGGGCGGGTGAGTGGGGGCTGAGTGCCCCCCGGCTCCCCGAGACCCCCCCATGGGCGAGGGTCTTGGGGCTAGGATGGTGGTGACGGTGTAGGTGCAGCTTGGGGTGACAAGGGGGTGGTGGGGCTGGGGAGGGGGTGCAGGATGGTGGCCCCGGGCTGTGGAGTGCTGGCTGGGGAAGGGGGACTCGGGCAGTAGGTCCTGGATGGGGGGGACAAGGCCACACCGTGCTGTGGGGCCGGCAGCCTCCCTCGCTCTCCCCTTCCCCATAAGGACGCAGCTGAATTTCACCGTCGCCATCGACTTCACGGCCTCCAACGGTGAGTGCAGCCGGTGTGGGGCGTGCAGGGGAGCCCCTGCGGCTGTGGGGCGGGTGCTGATGGGTGCTGTGCTGCAGGGATGCCATCACATCCCACCTCGCTGCACTACGCGAGCCCCTACCAGCTGAGTGCCTATGCGCTGGCACTGAAGGCGGTGGGGGAGATCATCCAGGACTACGACAGCGACAAGCTCTTCCCTGCCTATGGCTTCGGTGCCAAAATCCCACCCGACGGCAAGATCTCCCACCAGTTCCCATTGGTGAGACCCTCCCGGCTGTGGGGTGGCCGTGGTGGGGAAGGGAAGCACCACGGCTGCATCCTGCATTGGATAACATGAGGAGCGTTGATCCCATTCCAAGTGCCCATCCTTATCCTTCAGAACAACAACATGGACAACCCAAGCTGTGCCGGGATTGAGGGCGTGCTGGAGTCCTACCTGCAGAGCCTGCGCACAGTCCAGCTCTATGGTCCCACCAACTTCGCCCCGGTCATCAACCAGGTTGCTGGGTGAGCACTGGGGGACTCTGTCCCTTTTGATGACCCCAAATGTCACTTTGGTCCCATAGTGCTGGAGGGATCCAACCACTTGTGTCCCCCCCCATAGGACGGCTGCTCAAGTGACTGATGGCTCGCAGTACCACGTCCTCCTCATCATCACTGATGGTGTCATCTCCGACATGCTGCAGACCAAGGAAGCCATCGTCACCGTGAGTGCACTCTTTGTCACCTTGGGTGCAAGCTACACTGGGTGCTAGCTCTACTGCCACCCTGCCTCTGCTCCACAGGCTTCTGCATTGCCCATGTCCATCATCATAGTGGGAGTGGGGCCGGCTGAGTTTGAGGGTGAGTTGGGGACAATGGGGAATGGGGATGGAAACGTCATCCCTTCCTCTGGGACGCCGCTGGCAGAGGAAGGGATGACGTTTCCATCCCCATTGGCCACCCCACTGATGCTCAATGACCCCAACCATCACCCCACAGCCATGGAGGAGCTGGATGGTGATGAAGTCCGGGTGTCTTCCCGAGGACGATACGCCGAGAGGGACATTGTACAGGTAACCCAGTCCCTTGCTCCTCAACATGAGAATGATGCTGATGTTTCCAACCAGGCCACAAACAAACTCCTTTCCCTCCAAGTTTGTGCCATTTCGGGATTACGTGGATGACTCTGGGAACCAAGTGCTGAGCATGGCCCGTTTGGCCAAGGATGTGCTGGCTGAGATCCCTGAGCAGCTCCTGTCCTATATGAAGACCCGTGACATCAAGCCTCGCCGGGCAGACCCCCAATAGCTGCTTCATGTGCCATACAGGGACCAGGACATGTGTCACCTCCTTCCGATGGTGGCCAGGGCTTAGCCATGGAGATGTGCCCCCCACAAGGGCGATAATCAGCTGGTGAATGGGGCTGAGACCCCCATCTTCTGGCCAATGTGGGGCTGGATAGCCCCAGTACAAAGCGATGCCGTGGCACATCGGGGATGGCTTGGACTGCACCATCCCTTGTCAGTGCAGGCAGCACCCGTGCCAGGGCCCGGTTGGTGGGGGGGCCACTGTATATGTGTGTCCCCCAGGGGGGCGGGAGGCCCACTCTGGGGCTGGCTGCATGCTGGGGGGGGGGCTCAGCCCTATAGATCCATGGGGTATGGGCTTTGCCTTGCTCCTGCCTGCGCCCCATTCCTGCCTGTGCCCTGCTCCTGCCTGCCCCACAGCCCGCCCTGCAGCCGCATGGAGGGGAAGGTACCGGGGGGTGCCCGGGCTGCTCGACGGGTCTGTACCGCGGTACTGATTGTCAATAAACGGGTGAACCGGGGCTGCGCCGTGACGGCTCGACGGGGTCTGTACCGCGGTACCGGCTGTCAATAACGGGTTGAACCGGGGGTACCGGGGCGGCTCGACGGGGTCTGCACTGCGGTACCCGCTGTCAGTAACAGGCTAACCGGGCCTGCGCACTGCCGGAGGATACCGGGGCTGCTCGGTGGGGTCTGTACCCCGGTACCGACCATCAAAAACGAGCTGAACCGGGAGATGAAGGGGGGATCGGTGGGGTCAGTACCCCGGTACCGACCACCAGTAACGGGCTGAACCGGGGGATGCGGGGGGGGGGGTCAGTACCCCGGTACCGACCATCAACAACGGGCTGAACCGGGGCCGCATCGTCCCGGTAGCGGGGGACCGGGGCGGGGCTCCCGGGCGCGGTCCCCGGTGCCTGTGATTCAGAGCAGCAGATTCGCCTCAGGCAGCGCGGCCCAAGCCCGGCCCCCGTCGCTCCTCCCGCGGCCGCCCCTTCCCTCGCCACGCTCTCGCCACGCTCTCGCCGTCCTCCTTCGCCTCCCGCCGTTCCCCGCCGCCCGCTGCCCGAGCCCGGCTGGCCCGTGTCGAAAGTGCGGTTGCTAAGGGCGTCGCGGCGCTTTACCCAGCGGCCGCCCCGCGCCAGGCGCCGCCGCAGCCTCCATTGTTGCGGGCGCACCGGGCCCGCCGCCGCCGCTGCCCATGGAGCCACCGCCCGCACCCGCCCGCTGAGAGAGGCCCCGCGTCCGGTGAGCGCGGCCCCGCAGCGAGAGGAGGGAGGGAGGCCGGGCGGGGCGCCGGGCAGGGGGCGGCGGGGCCGGGGCGGGGGGAAGCGGCCGGGCCTGGCCTTGGCCTGGGCCTGGCTCCCCCGCTGAGCGCCCCCTCAGCCCCCCGCTCGCCATGGGCGTAGATTTCGACGTGAAGACTTTCTGCCACAACCTGAGGGCCACCAAACCCCCGTACGAGTGCCCGGTGGGCACCTGCCGCAAGATCTACAAGAGCTACAGCGGCATCGAGTACCACCTGTACCACTATGACCACGACAACCCGCCGCCGCCGCAGCACACCCCGCTGCGCAAGCACAAGAAGAAGGGGCGGCAGGCCCGCGCCGCCAACAAGCAGTCGCCCAGCCCCTCCGAGACCTCCCAGTCTCCGGGCAGGGAGGTGATGACCTACGCTCAAGCCCAGCGCATGGTGGAGGTGGACCTGCACGGCCGCGTCCATCGCATCAGCATCTTCGATAACCTGGATGTGGTGTCCGAGGATGAGGAGGTGCCCGAGGAGGTGCCTGAGAACGGAAGCAATAAGGAGAACACGGAGACCCCCAGCGTCCCGCAGAAATCCGGCAAGCACAAGAACAAGGAGAAGCGTAAGGATTCCAACCACCATCACCACAACGCCTCGGCTGGCACCACGCCCAAGCTGCCCGAGGTGGTGTACCGGGAGCTGGAGCAGGACACCCCAGACGCCCCGCCGCGCCCCACGTCCTACTACAGGTAGGAGGCTGCTGCCACTCGTGCCTTGGGTTTGGAGGCAGGATCAGCCTCACTGTGCACAGGCAGCTTGTCTGTGGCTTGTGGAAATGGCCTTGGTCTGCTTCTCCTGGGTCCTGCAGAGCTGGTCATCCCGTGGCTTCAGGCTCCTGGAGCTCTGTCTGGTGTCACACTCTGGTTTTGAGGGGTCTGTGCACCTGCACAGGTCTTGGTTGCTGCTCAGGTCATTGCTGGCAGTTTGATTGCTGTGCTCTTTCCTTGCTGAGACAATGCATATAATCATAACAAGACCCAAATGTGTCCGTCTGCCTCCCACACTGCTCTTTGGGGGTGTGCTGGGGTAGCTCCAGATCTCCTCAGTACCAAGGGTACCTGTAAGATGTGTCTGTTGTCAGACTGAAATCTCTTTTGTTTCCATGAATGGTTTGGGAGCCAAATAATCCCTCAAGCAGGGAGTTAATAGTGAACCAGAGTAACATTCGTGTGGCCCCCCCCAGCTCTCCTGGTCACCACTGCCCAGGTGAGCACTGGCACTGTGTTCCAGGGATGAGATAATGATGTTATTTTGGGTCAGGATGCTAGAAAAAAGGCCTCCCCCTGAGGTGTCTGTGGCAGCGCTCACTGCCATGGTGTGGGGTGGTTCCTGTCGCTTGCTGGAGCAGCAGCTGAGAGAGCTGGGCTGGTTCAGCCTGGAGAAGAGAAGGCTCCTGAAGGGGAGACCTTAGAGCAGCTCCAGTGCCTAAAGGGTCTGCAGGAAACCTGGAGAGGGGCTTGGGACAAGGGCCTGTAGGGACAGGCCAAGGGGAATGGCTTGAACCTGCCAGAGGGGAGACTGAGCTGAGCTCTTAGGCAGAAGCTCTTCCCTGTGAGGGTGCTGAGGCGCTGGCACAGGGTGCCCAGAGAAGCTGTGGCTGCCCCATCCCTGGCAGTGTTCAAGGCCAGGTTGGACACAGGGGCTTGGAGCAAGCTGCTCCAGTGGAAGGGGTCCCTGCCCGAGGCAGGGGGTTGGAACTGGAGGAGCCTTAGGGTCTCTTCTAACCAAAACAATTCAGTGTTTCTATGAAATAACATCCCCCCACCCGCAATCGGAGTGAAAGGCCCCCCTGTGAGAGATAACAGAGCATGGTTCCTCCATCCCCCGCTGCTGTTGTGTCTTGGGCACAAGGCTGCTGTCTCCAGAGCATCTGGCACCTACTTGGTGTCTCATGCAGGCTCCAGTCTTGTGCTGATAAGTCCCCAAGGCCTGTACCTCACCCGTTAGCTGAGTTGTTTTGTCTATGTCGTGCCCGACATACGGCTCAGGGTGCAGCTGCACCTCCTGCTGCTGCGCATTCCTGCGTTATCCCTGTTTGGTTTATGTTGATTTACAGCTTGGCCAGAGCATTTAAACCTTCCCCTGTTTGCAGGAGCTGCAGTTGAGCAGCTCCAGCCCCCGCTGGCTGTGCTCTCACCCTCCTGTGCTTTCCTTCCAGGTACATCGAGAAGTCGGCAGAGGAGCTGGATGAAGAGGTGGAGTACGACATGGACGAGGAAGATTACATCTGGCTGGACATCATGAACGAGCGGCGGAAGACCGAAGGCGTGAGTCCCATTCCCCAGGAGATCTTTGAGTACCTGATGGACAGGCTGGAGAAGGAGTCCTACTTTGAGAGCCACAACAAGGGCGATCCGAACGCCTTGGTGGATGAGGACGCCGTCTGCTGCATCTGCAACGACGGGGAGTGTCAGAACAGCAACGTCATCCTCTTCTGCGACATGTGCAACCTGGCTGTGCACCAGGAGTGCTACGGGGTGCCCTACATCCCGGAGGGACAGTGGCTCTGCAGACGGTGCCTGCAGTCACCCTCACGGGCCGTGGACTGTGCCCTCTGCCCAAACAAGGGGGGGGCCTTCAAGCAGACGGACGACGGGCGCTGGGCACACGTGGTGTGTGCCCTGTGGATCCCGGAGGTGTGCTTTGCCAACACTGTCTTCCTGGAGCCCATCGACAGCATTGAGCACATACCGCCCGCGCGCTGGAAGCTGACCTGTTACATCTGCAAGCAGCGTGGCTCCGGGGCTTGCATCCAGTGTCACAAAGCCAACTGCTACACAGCCTTTCATGTCACCTGCGCCCAGCAGGCCGGGCTCTACATGAAGATGGAGCCCGTGCGGGAGACTGGGGCCAACGGCACCTCCTTCAGTGTGCGCAAAACCGCCTACTGCGACATCCACACACCGCCGGGCTCCGTGCGCAGGCTGCCCGCCCTGTCCCACAGCGAGGGCGAGGAGGAGGACGAGGAGGAGGAGGACGAGGGCAAGGGTTGGAGCTCTGAGAAGGTCAAAAAGGCCAAGGCCAAGTCGAGGATCAAGATGAAGAAAGCGAGGAAGATCCTGGCGGAGAAACGAGCCGCAGCGCCCGTGGTGTCTGTGCCCTGCATCCCCCCCCACAGGTATGACCCACCGCCCTCCCTGCACTGTGGAGAAGCTTCTCCCTTTCTCCGTGCCTCATGTCCCACTCCTCTCCTTAGCTTTTCACACAGAGACTTTTCACCTTGTTCTCTCAGAGGGCTGTTGGTGCTTTCCTTTGGGAGTCCTGTGTAGAGGCAGAGATGCGCTGCCCTGCAGAGGTTCCTGGGCCCTCAGTGAGGCAGGAAATAGCTGCTGTTAGTGTAATGGCAGAGAAAGAACTTGGCTGGATGTGTCAGGAAGCAGCTGGGGATTCCCGCCACTCCTTTCCTGTTGTGCTGACCTCAGGCACTGGAGTAAATCAGGCAGGGAGGAGGGAACTTCCTGCTGAGGCTTGTTTGGGTTTTTTACAAGGACATGCAGTGATAGGGCAAAGGGAGAATGGTTTTAAACTGAAAGAGGGGAGATTGAGATGAGCTCTTAGGCTCTTAGATCAAGATTAAATATTAGGCAGAAGCTCTTCCCTGTGAGGGTGCTGAGGCGCTGGCACAGGGTGCCCAGAGAAGCTGTGGCTGCCCCATCCCTGGCAGTGTTCAAGGCCAGGTTGGACACAGGGGCTTGGAGCAAGCTGCTCCAGTGGAAGGGGTCCTTGCCCGTGGCAGGGGTTGGAGCTGGAGGAGCTTTAAGGTCCCTTCCAACCCAAACCAGGCTGGGATTCTCTGATTCTCCTGGGGCTGTGCTGGGGAAAAGAGAGAAGTGTGGGAGCGATTCAGGCCTGGGAAACGGGCTGACCCCAGGGGTTGTTTTGGCTCTGGAGCAGAGAGCTGTCTGTTGGGATCCCTGTGCACAGCTCATCCTCCCCTCTGCTGGGCTTCTTCAGCATGTTGTGCCTGTTGCAGGCAGTGGCTCTGCCTCAGGGCCAGGCAGCAGTGGGGTGCAGAAGGACTGCAAGGGGTGTCTGAAAAGGGCCAGGACTCTCGCCTGTGAGGGTCACAACTGTCCCGAGGTTGGCTTCACAGCACAGGAAGGTAGTTGAGGCCTTGCCAGAGGTCGTGTTTCTGTCACATCCCAACCCCGAGGGCTCCCAGGAAGGCACAAACACCCTTAAGATGGTTTTGGGTCTTGCTGTCACCTTGCAGCTTTTTGCCACGGTCTGGTTATACCCTAACCTTAAGTTTGTGCTCACCCGGGGTTGCTCTGTAGCTAGAGCCTCTTTCCTCACGTGTGGATGCACTGGCAGGCAGTTTGGAAGCTCTTGCTGCTATCACTGTGCTCACAGTGAAACCCACACTGAGCTAGAAGCTGTTAGCCTCTCCCCAGGCCTTCCTGTTGGGATCAATTATTCTTCAAGGGCTGTTGCCAGGATGCCAAATGTCTTCCTGTGGGAGCTGTGCTTGGCTGGTGATGGCACATGGGGCTGCCTTCCCTGGCCTCTTTAGCTGATGTGGATGCAGGTCAGGTCATCCCCTGTGGGACGCGGAGGCAATGCTGGGGCTTTATCCCTCCAGCTTCCCAATAGCCCAGCTTTACAGAACAAGGCTGTCCCAGCCCCTCCAGGCTTTCTACTGTTGCAGACAGCAGGAAAATCCCTTCTGTGGTGCTATGGGATCAGACAGGAGCTTTGTTGTGCTTGTGCCTCCTGTTCCCCCTTCACTCTTTGCTAGGTTTGGTCAAGTTATGGGCTCTCTGGGGCTTGAGTTTGTCTGGTAACATTTGTCCAGGGCCTTTGTCACTGTGAGTGGCCCTGAGCCAGGAAAACGGTTTGGGGATAACAGTGCCATAATGCTCATGGTCTTGGGGACTGTGGGAGGTGTTAAAGGTCCAGCCCCCCATGCAGATGTGTTGTACCCTGAACCCTCCCAGCCTTTTGCCCAAAAGTTGGCAGGGGGTAGAAAGGAAACGTCTGGTTTTGGATGTTTCCTGGTGTCCCCCGTTGTGAGTGACTGGGGGGGGCGGGGGGCAGCAGCCCTGGGTCACTTGGTGGTACATGGGAAAGGGTGTCCTCAGCCCCAGGAAGCTCCTCAGCTGCTCCCTCTCCCCAGGCTTGCCTTGCTGATGGGCTCTGTGGTTCCTCTCCCTCCTTCAGGCTCAGCAAGATTACAAACCGTTTGACCATCCAGAGGAAGAGCCAGTTCATGCAGAGGCTGCACAGCTACTGGACGCTGAAGAGACAGTCCCGCAACGGCGTCCCCCTGCTCCGCCGCCTCCAGACACACTTGCAGTCACAGAGGAACTGTGACCAGGTAAGGGGGCTGCAGGGATCCTGCCTGTGTGTGTATGTGTGCTTCCTCTGCCTTCCTTTGGAGCGGTGGGCTCAGAGCCTTTGTGGTGCCTGCAGGCGCAGAAGGGGGTCAGGGGTGTGAGGAAGGGCAGCCTCAACAAGGGCAGCCCCAGCTGCTTTTGCTGCTTCACTTCATGCTCTCTGTGTTGAGAGATGTGCCAGGCAGCACTGGCAGCCTGCCACAGGAGGGGAATCCTGCCCTCTCATGCTGCTCTGCAGTTACCTCCTGCTTTGTGCCCTCATTTAGCTGGTGGCGGTGGCAGACCTGTCACAGTGGCTCTAGGCTGAGGCTGCTCAACAGTGAGTGTTGAGAGGGGTGGCTGGGGAGCTCCACAAACAGGCTGGAAAGATCCAAGGCCTCTCTCCCAGTTCCTGAAACCGCTCCAGGAGCACTCCCTGTGGGTGCTGCTTCCAGCCCACTGTCTGCCTCAGCCCTTAGTCACTGCTTCACAGATGTGAAGTCGTTGATGCCAGAGAGGAAGATTTTCCTTCTGGCTCCTTGTCTGAGCTCCAAATCTTTCTTCCTGGGCCTTTTGAGGCCTGTGACCGGGCAGGGGGTTCTCCTGCCTTTGCCCCCTCGCATTTACATTTTCTAGAGAAGGGCTGATGCTGCTTCTGCTCATCTTTGGCTATGGCAGAATAAGAGCTGGCATTTTTTGGTGCTCCAGAAGTGAAAGCAACCAGAGCTATGTTCCCTTTTTGCCCTGTTGCTCTTTGCTGGAGCTCTGACCAGCAGCACAGACCCTGGTGTTGTTCTGTGCTCTTGGGCAGCTGTGTTAGGAACATTAGTTCCAGAAGCTTGGGATGTCCACCTCCTGGCATCCTAAGGGCTTGGTAACCAGGGGGCAGGTACTCCACTCTGCCTAGAGGTCAGCCTGTGTCTGAACCACGCACTTAGGTTACAACGAGGGAACTGGGACCTTTGCTAAACCAGAGGGTCAAACATGCTGGTTCCTTTTGCCAGGGAGGAGCCCCAGCACACGGTCAGGAAGGTGGAGATAGGAACACATCTCCTGTCAGCTCATGGTCTCTGATGTTCCCGCAGAGAGACACTGAGGATAAGAACTGGGCCCTGAAGGAGCAGCTGAAGTCATGGCAGCGCCTCCGCCATGACCTAGAGCGGGCACGCTTGCTGGTGGAGCTGATCCGCAAGCGGGAGAAGCTCAAGAGAGAGACGGTAACGACCCTGTGTCCTCCCTGGGGAGCTGCTGGGGTGGGCAGGAGCATGGGCAGCTCTTCAGAGCACTCTAAGGTGTGTGCTGGGTGCCCTCAGCCGTGCTGTGCCTCGCCCCGGTGGCTCTGAGTGAAGGTGGCTGCTCTGCAAGGCTCAGGTGGGATGTGCTGGATCTGGTGTGCACCTCTGCTCCCCACACACAGGGGTGAGGAGCAGGCACTGTCCTGCAAGGAGCGGTGCCACTGTCCTGCAGCTCTGCACTGCTGCTCCCCAGGGACTGTCCCTGCTGCTGGGCAGGGGGCTCAGCCCCGCTCTGTTGCTCTTGTTTCAGATCAAGGTGCAGCAGGTAGCACTGGAGATGCAGCTGACCCCTTTCCTCATCCTGCTTCGCAAGACTCTGGAGCAGCTGCAGGAGAAAGACACAGGCAACATCTTCAGCGAGCCGGTCCCTCTGTCTGAGGTAACAGAAATCTACGAAGTAAGAACCCCCTCTCCCAGATTTATGCTTCACTCCGACTCGTCCCTTGCTCGTGCCAAGGGCTGCCCAGGGGCTGCCTCTCCAGTATAAACCTCTCCTGGTGCAGCTTGAGGCCATTTCCTCTTGTCCCATCCCTTGTTCCTTGGGAGCAGAGCCCAGCCCCTCCTGGCTCCATCCTCCTGTCAGGCACTTGTAGGGAGCGATCAGGTCCCCCCTGAGCCTTCTTTTCTCCACACTGAACCCCCCCAGGTCCCTCCATTCCCCATCACACTTGTGCTCCAGGCCCTGCACCAGCTCTGTTGCCCTTCTCTGGCCCTGCTCCAGCACCTCAGTGTCTGTCTTACAGTGAGGGAGCAGAGCTGGTGCTGGCTGGAGCACATTACTCAGCTCTTCCTCTTCATGTACTGCTGGTGCCCCCCTCGTGTCTGTGAGCAGTTGGGCATTCCCGTTGGGAAGCCAAGAACACAAGCAGCACCCTCTTACCTGTCCTCTCATGAAGGCCTCTGCTAGGTGATGCACTGAGCACAGCATAGGAAAGGGTTTGACTCCCAGACTGCAGGCAGGTCAGCACGGAGGTGTCCCAGCAGAGCTGGGGGGAACACTGCACAGTCCCCCCTGCAGCCAGTGCTGCCAGTTCTGTTTTACCTGTCTGCACTCACCCTCCCCCTGGGGGCTGCCCTTGCAGCTTCATCCCTCAGGGAATGCCATGGAGCATACTGGATCCCAGCTGCCTGCAGGCAGGAGGAGAGGACAGGGTGCTGGCAAGTGCACTGGAGCTGTAAAACCGCCTCAGAGCGCGTTATCTGCTGGAGCAGGTTGAGCACAGCACATGGGCTCCTGCTCCGGAGGCGTTGCTGCTCCTCAAGCTGCACAAGCAGACGGCATTCCCCGATGTGCATTTGGGCACAACACAGGGAGTGATACCTCATTCCTTTAACCACTGTTGTCTTGGAGCAGGTAATGCTGAGGCTGGCTCCCAGGCTCTTAGCTCTGCCTCTTTCCTCATGCAGGTCCCGGATTACCTGGATCACATCAAGAAGCCGATGGACTTCCAGACAATGAAACAAAACCTGGAAGCCTATCGCTACCTGAACTTCGACGACTTCGAGGAGGATTTCAACCTGATCATCAACAACTGTTTGAAATACAACGCCAAAGACACCATCTTCTACCGGGCAGCCATCCGCCTGCGGGAGCAGGGAGGTGCTGTGCTGCGGCAGGCTCGCCGGCAGGCTGAGAAGATGGGCATTGACTTTGAGACAGGCATGCACTTCCCTCACTGCGTAACGGCGGAAGAGGCTCAGGTCCAAGACATCGAGGATGGTGGGTTCTCATCCCCTGGCCTGGGGTGTGAGGGCTGCTTGGAGGCTCCAAGGCTGGAGGCTTGTCTGGTTGGAAGGACTGACCCCCCCCCCTGTTGTCAGAGCCGAGTGCTTCCCCTTTCCCCCAGTTGTGGGCTTTGCTGGCTGCTCCAAAGCTCCTGATACCCCTCAGCCAGAGCTCACTGGCTCCATGGTTGTAGTTCTGCTTGTGTCTGGGCAGTGGGGACCACCACCAGGCACAGCTTGTCCGAGAAGGGTCCCTTTACAGTCCTCTTTTCCCTGCTCCAGCATGGGTTAGGCTCAGACAGGGAACTCCCCTGCTTTGTAATGATTCAGGAGCCTTTTGTCTTTTGTTTTTCCTGTTACAATCCCCCTCTCTTTTTCCTTCTGTGTCCTTGCCCTAGATTATGGGAACCCTGGCATTCTCCACGCTGGCTTCCCCACCTTGCTTCCCACAGGGCTCCTTCTCCAGGTCTTCCCATGTTCATGAGTGTTTGGTGCCACTTCGGCTACTTCCCTCTGTGGGGAACCTGCCCTTTCAGGCAGAGCAGCTCCAAGGAGTTCCCAGTTTCCTTTCATCCATCTGCTCCTCTTTGTCCCCCAGAAGATGTGCGGCTGCTGCTCTCGGAGAACCAGAAGCACCTCCCTTTGGAGGAGCAGCTCAAGATCCTGCTGGAGCGGCTGGATGAGGTCAACGCCGGCAAGCAGAGCATCGGCCGCTCCCGGCGCGCCAAGATGATCAAGAAGGAGATCACGGTCCTGCGCAGGAAGCTCGCCCACCCGCGGGACCTGGGCCGGGACGGGCTGGAGCGGCACGGCTCCTCGGCCAGGGGGGGCCTGCAGGCACACAACCCCTGCGAGAAGGACCTGCAGACAGACAGTGCTGCCGAGGAGAGCAGCAGCCAGGAGACGGGCAAAGGTACCTGCTCTCAATGTCCCTGCCTGCCTGGATGGGGCACAGGGTGAGGGTGCAGCAGCCCCAGCCGATGAGCTCCAAATGCCCTCAAGTGCCAGCCACCAGCTCCCTGCCTCCAGGGTGGAGATGCTGGGCTCATGGGGAGCACAGCAAAGGCTCCAGGCAGAGCTGCCAGGTACCACTGAGGGTTTGTCACCTCTGCATCCCAGTTCTGCTTCCCTAAGCAGAACTTTGACCTCATCCGGGCTCTTTGGCAAATAGGAAGCGTTTAGGGACTTTGTCTTTCAAGGGTGCAGTGGAGCTTTTCAGCTGCTTCCTTCCTGATCTTGACTCCTACTTTGAGATTGCCTGGGAGACAAGAAGGCATCCCTGGCTGGTGGAATGCTCTTTGATGTCCCCATCTGAGTTTTACTGCTGGCAGACTGGATAGCTTCACCCTGAGGGCGCAGGCAAAGCTCAGGATGGAGGATCTTCTGGGATAACGTTCCCAAGAAATGAAGCTATTCCTTGCTGCTGCTGCTGTGTGGTCCATGCAGGAACCATGGGCTGCAGCTGACACCTTCTCCTCCTCCCTTTTCCAGGTCTGGGTCCCAATTCTTCTTCCACCCCAGCACATGAAGTTGGCAGGAGGACCTCAGTGCTCTTCTCCAAGAAGAACCCTAAAACTGCAGGACCTCCAAAGCGCCCGGGCCGCCCCCCGAAGAACCGAGACAGCCAGATCACCCCTGGGCACGGCAGCAGCCCCATCGGGCCCCCCCAGCTCCCCATCATGGGCTCTTCCCAGCGGCAGAGGAAGCGAGGGCGAAGCCCACGGCCCAGCTCCAGCTCAGACAGCGACAGTGACAAGTCCACTGAAGATGCTCCCATGGGTGGGTGCCGCAGGTCCCCCCCTGCAGCCGGGTGGCTGACAGGGTCCCGTGGGGTTCCAATGCTCTTTGGTGCTTTGCAGATCTGCCAGCCAACGGTTTCAGCAGCGGGAACCAGCCGGTGAAGAAGAGCTTCCTGGTGTACCGCAACGACTGCAACCTGCCCCGCAGCAGCTCCGACTCCGAGTCCAGCAGCAGCAGCAGCAGCAGCGCTGCCTCAGACCGCACCAGGTACCGGCCCTGATGGGGGCTGCCCATGGGGGCAGTGGGTGGCTCTCAGCCTTGAGCTGCTGCATAAGGAGCCCATTTGGTGGTCCCTGTTCCATTCACCCTCCTGCAGCATGGCTGCTGTTAGCTAAACCCTAGAGAGATGTGGGGTTTGTGCCTTTCTATGGTGTAAAACCTAAAGGTGAGTGTGCAGCAAAGGGCTAGTAGGGAGTGTGAACCAGGAATTCCCTCTTGGCACTTCCAGCAGCCAGCTCCTGCAGGATCCCCCTGCTTGTGGCTCTGTTTTGGAGCCGTGCACATCTTTTGGGGCCTCATGGGTGAAATGGGGTGAGGGTCTGGCTGAAGCACCAGAAAACCGGGTGAGCCCCAGCAGAAGCACCATCATTGCCAAGTCCTTCCCAGTGCCAAGACCAGTGGTTGGAGCCCATGAGCCCTGGTGTCCCTCCAGGCTCGGAAGCCTGGAAGCTTCACCACGGCTCCTGCTGACAGCTCTGCTCCCTCTCTCGCAGCACAACACCCTCCAAGCAGGGCCGAGGGAAACCCTCCTTCTCCCGAGTGAACTTCCCGGAGGACAGCAGCGAGGACACGTCGGGGACAGAGAACGAATCCTACTCCGTGGGCACGGGGCGAGGCGTGGGGCACGGCAGTAAGTGGGGTGGCTGGGGGCTGTCACTGTCACCCAGGGTGGCAGCAGCTGACTCTCCTCTAACCCCAATCTCCTCCGGCCCAGTGGTGCGCAAGGGCATGGGCCGTGGTGCGGGCTGGCTCTCCGAGGATGAGGATTCCTCCCTGGATGCTCTGGACCTGGTGTGGGCGAAGTGCCGGGGGTACCCCTCCTACCCCGCGCTGGTGAGTACCAGGAGCCACTTGCACACCATCAGGGCTCCCTCAGTCCCGCAGAGTGGTGCTGGGGAGGGGGTCCCCATCATTCCATTCAGTGCTCCCCGTTATCCCTGCAGATCATCGACCCCAAGATGCCGCGGGAAGGCATGTTCCACCACGGCGTCCCCATCCCTGTGCCCCCCTTGGAGGTGCTGAAGCTGGGGGAGCAGATGACTCAGGAAGCACGCGAGCACCTCTACCTTGTCCTCTTCTTTGACAACAAGCGCACTTGGTAAGGCTGGGGCGCCGGGGGCTGTTGTGGGAGGGGAGGGGGCAACCGGAGACGATTGTAACCCTCAAACGAGGTTTTGCCCCATTCCCCGCAGGCAGTGGTTGCCCAGGACCAAACTGGTACCACTGGGGGTGAACCAAGACCTGGATAAGGAAAAAATGCTGGAAGGTCGGAAGTCCAACATCCGGAAGTCGGTGCAGATCGCCTACCACCGCGCCATGCAGCACCGCAACAAGGTGCAGGGCGAGCAGAGCAGCGACTCCAGCGAGAGCGACTGAGCGGGGCCCCCCCCTCGACGGCCGCTCCCCGCCGAATCTCAGGGCAAACGGGGCTCGGGGGGGGGGGGGGGGGGTCCCGTGCAGCTGGTCTGCACCCGCCGGGCTGGGATGTCACCGTCCCGGTGCCCGCTCCCGCCGCGCCCCGCCGTTGCTGTGTTCCGGCTGCACACACGCGGCCCCCCCCCCGCCCCAGCCCCCGGCCGGCCCCGCGTTCGGACGTTGTTTGTATTTATTTTGAAGGAAGAAAAAGAAAATCTATTGATTCTTAGAAAATAAAAAACCTCCGCTGCGCGCGGGGAACGGGAACGGGGAACGGAGCGGGAGCAAGGAACGGGAATGGGCGCAGGGAACGGGAATGGGAAACGGGAGCGGAAGCAAGGAACGGGAATGGGCGCGGGGAACAGGAATGGGGAACTAAAACGGGCACGGGAACGGGGAACGGGAGCAGAAACGGAACAGGAGCGGGAACGGGGGGGGGAACGGGAACGGGGAACGGAGCGGGAGCAAGGAACGGGAATGGGCGCAGAGAACGGGAATGGGAAACGGGAGCGGGAGCAAGGAACGGGAATGGGTGCGGGGAACAGGAATGGGGAACTAAAACGGGAACGGGGAACGGGAGCAGAAACGGAACAGGAGCGGGAACGGAGAGGGAGCAAGGAACGGGAATGGGCGCGGGCAACGGGAGCGGGGAACAAGAACGGGAGCGGGAAACGGGAACGGGGCGGACCGCGCTTCCGGGTTGGGACCGGAAGTGTGGGGATAAAGCGGCGCCGGCGCGGAGGGGGAGCCCCGTGGTGCGGGGCGGGATGCGGGGCGCGGGGATGAAGCTCCGGGACACCCCATCGGAGAGCCCCGCGCTGTGGCGGGCCCTGCCCTGCCCGGCGGCCGAGCTGCGGCTGGACCTGGTGCTGCCGTCGGGGCAGACGTTCCGGTGAGCTCGGTTTATCCCGGGCCCATCCCCGTGGCCTCTGGGTCGGCCCCGACGTTACCCCCAACACCCCAATGTGCGGCAGATGGAGGGAGAGCAGCCCCGGGTCCTGGACGGGCGTGCTGGGGGGCACCGTGTGGACGCTGCGGCAGGAGCGCGACCGGCTCTGGTACACGGTGTACGGCGGGGAGGCGGGCGCAGGCACGGACCGGCTCCTCCGGGAGTTCTTGCAGCTGGATGTGGGGCTGCGGGAGCTGTACCGAGCCTGGGGGGCCGCGGACCCCCTCTTCCGACAGGCGGCCAAAGACTTCCCAGGTGAGGTGACCCCGCCGCGGGGGGGAACCCACAGCGCCCACCCGGTGCCCCCTTACCCCGTCCCTCCGACAGGGGTGCGGGTGCTGCGGCAGGACCCCGTCGAGTGCCTCCTCTCCTTCATCTGCACCTCCAACAACCACGTCTCCCGCATCACCGCCATGATCGAGCGGCTCTGCCAAGCCTTCGGCCGCCACCTCTGCCACCTCGATGCTCAGCCCTTCCACGCCTTCCCTGCCCTCACAGCGCTCACAGGTCCGGTGTCCCCACACCGCTGTGCCCATGGCATTGATGGCATCCAGCCCTGATGTCCCTCTGTGTCCCCACCAGGCGATGATGCTGAGGCCCGGCTGCGGGCGCTGGGCTTCGGGTACCGAGCCAAGTTCATCAGCGGCACCGCGCGCGCCATCACCGAGGGGCTCGGCGTCGAGGGGCTGCACCAGCTCCGCACCGTGCCCTACGCCGAGGCCAGGAGGGTGCTGTGCACGCTGCCTGGTGTGGGCACCAAGGTGGGTACCGCGGATGGGGACAGGACACGGAGCAGGAGTTGGGAACGGAGGGGGTTGATGGTGTGGTTTGGCAGCAGGTCGCTGACTGCGTGTGCCTGATGGCGCTGGACAAGGCGGAGGCGGTGCCGGTGGATACCCACGTGTGGCGCATCGCGCGGCAGCGCTATGGCATGGAGCTGGGCGGCCGCAGCATCACCCCGCGGGCGCACCAGGAGATCGGTGAGGGCAGCGCTGGGCCCGGACGTGTGCGACCCCCGGGATGGGGATGATGCTCCCGGTGCTCATCCTCTATCCACAGGCGACTTCTTCCGGGGGCTGTGGGGTCCCCGCGCCGGCTGGGCGCAGGCGGTGAGTACCCAACCCCCGGCACCGCAGGGCTCAGCTCTCACCCCCCAACTCACCCCATCCCTCCCCACACCAGGTCCTCTTCTGCGCTGACCTCCACAAGGGCCGGGAGCTGCCTGTGAGCCGGGATCGGGATAAGGAGAGCTGAAGGCAGGACCCCCGTGGTGATGGGACCCCTTAGCAACAGAGCCCCCCATCAGCGGCTATGGGGGGGTCACTGCTGCCTGGGGTGCTTGTCCCCTGCCCGCTGTGTGCATAGGGTGAGCTGCTGCCTTTGGGCAGTGAGGCTGATGAGGGGGGGTCAGGGCTGTGTGTGCCCCCCCCAGGCGGGGCAGAGCCAAGCAGCGTTGGCCTCTTGTCTTTATTACAAGCATTAAAATAGAAACATCCATTTGGAAAACTCCTTGATCATGCTGGGGTGTGGGGCAGTGCCGGGGCAGATGTGGGGTGATGGGGGGGGGTGTGATGGGGGGCTCGGGACACAGCCCCAAGCCATGGTGGTGGTGGTGGTGGGGGCTCTCCTGGGGGCTGCTCCAGTGCAGAGCTGTGCTGTGAGCCTGCAGTGTGGGGCAGCCCCACACAGCTCAGGGGGATCAGGGCTGGGTGCCTCCACAGTGCCCCCCCCCCGGCTCCCCACCCCACACGGTGCCCATGGGAGGGCCGGGCCCCCCCCATAGCCCCCCAGGACGTGTCCGTGTGGGGCTGTGCTCAGTGCGGGGGCAGACGCTGGGCTCTGCTGGGGGGCAGGCGCCCATGGTGCGACCCTGCGGGAGGAGCCGGGGGTCAGAGCCCAGTGGGGACACGATGGGGATGGGGATGGGGGGGTCAGGGCTCACCGTTGCTGGTGCCCCCCTCCAGCCGCTCTCCGGGGCTGGTTGGTGCTGTGTGTGCAGGGCCCTCCTGGCTGGTTCCCAGCTGCAGCTTCCTCATGTGCCTCACCACGGCCGTGGCGTTGAAAGCTTGCTGCCGACCCCACAGTGTCCCTCAGCTGCCGTGGGGTGACCTGAACCCCCCCATAGCCCCCCAGCACCCAGTGCTCACCTTCCACTTGCTCTTTGCGAAGTTCTTCTTGATCTGCTCGCTCACTGACTGGTGGATGTTCTTATCGAGCGCCGTGTCCCCAGCGATCCTGGCGCGGGACAGGGGTCAGTGCCCCATGGCTGATGTGGGGTGAGTTATGGGGAGCAGACGGTGATGGGTATCCCCCTTACCAGGGATGCTGCAGGGCTTGCTCGCAGGTGAAGCGCTTGCAGGGGTCCTTCTCCATCAGGTGCTGGATGAAGTCTTTGGCTGGGATGGGGCATGGAGCAGCCATCAGCACCGGTGCCTGTTGCTCCCCCGGTACGGTGACACCACACTGGTGTCCCCACCCCTCCACCCCGGTGTTCCCACTCACCCGAATCCGAGATGTCATCCCAGTAGGGCGAATCGAACTCATACTCGGCCCGCAGAATCTGCTCGAAGAGTTTGGCATCGTTCTCATCATAGAACGGGGGGTAACCGCAGAGCCTGGGGGGCGGCAGGGAGGGGGACACCATCACTGGGTGTCTCTGGGGGTACTGGACCCCACGGAGGGGTTTGGGGCGGGATGCGGGGCACATACAGGATGTAGGCGATGACCCCGATGGACCAGCAATCCACTGCCTTGCTGTAGGGCTTCTGCGCCAGCACCTCGGGGGCTGCATGGGGGCACAGCAGGGGTGAAGGGGGACCCCAACCCGGAGTGGGGGGGGGGGATACCCCATCCCCGCACCCAGGCGCTCACCCACATAGCCAGGGGTGCCGCAGGCCGTGGACATGACGCTGCCGCAGCCCTCGATCTTGGACAGCCCAAAATCACTGATCATGATCTTGGAGTCCTCGTCCATGCTGTAATAGAGCAGGTTCTCGGGCTGCGGGGAGGGGGCGGTCAGGAGGGGGGTGACAGTGGGGTCCGTGTGTGTCCCCCCCCCCCAGCTGCTCACCTTCAGGTCGCGGTGCACGATGCCCATGTCGTGCAGGTACTTGACGGCGTCGAGGATCTGCCGGATCAGGGCGCTGGCGTCCCGTTCTGTGTAGAAACCCTTCTCCACGATGCGGTCAAAGAGCTCCCCCCCCGAGACCCTAAGGGGGGCAGCACGGTCAGCATGGCCCCCTCTGGACCCCCCCCCTGTGCCCCCCATCATCACTCACAGCTGCATGATGAGGTAGAGGTGGGTGCTGCTCTCATAGATGTCATCCAAGGCCACGATGTTGGGGTGCTTGATCCTGGAAGGGGGGAGGAGATAGATGGTAAAGGGGGGTGGGGGGGTGAGTGGGCTCCTGACTGCCCCCCAACCATGGCCCCCACCATATAGAGAGCATCCGGGCTCGGTGCCGCGGGGCATCACGCGCCAACGGCTATTTTGGGCACTGGGAACAGCACACACAGTGATGGGTGCTGGCAAGGGGGAGTCACGCCGGGTGATGGGGAGTGGGACACAGAGCGGGACCCCCCCAAACCCCGGTGCTGGGGCACCCCCCTGCCGGTGCTGGGCCAGCCCTTACTTGTGCAGGACGGCGATCTCGTTCTCGATGCTGGTCTCCTTCCCCTCCAGCGCCTTCTTGGCGATGCACTTGATGGCCACGAGCTTCCGCGTCGCCTTCTCCTCCGCCAGGACCACCTCGGAGAAGGCCCCGCTATGGGGAGCGAGGGGTGAGCGTGGCCGGAGCAGCCGCGGGGACCATGGCAACGGGGAGAAAGTCCTGCTATTTATAGGAGGAAAGGGAGCGGGCCACGGGACAGGCAGGGATGGAGCAGCCGCATCCCTCCCGCTGCGGCTGCACTGGCCCCTTATCAGGCAGGATAAGGCTGAGGGTGAGTAGTGATGGGGATGGGATTGGGAAGCCCCGTCCCAACGGGTGAGAGCAGTGCTCAGGTGGGAAGGTGGCCGCCGGCATTCCCTAAGCCTTGCCGGAATTAACCTGCTAATCCGGTGTAAGAGCCTTATAGCGCATCGGGCACCCCTGTGCCACCAGCATGGGGATCCTTGGTGGGATAGCCACTGTCACCGGCACGCAAGGGAGGTGTCACACAGCACCACAACCCCCTGCCCGTCCCCTTCCATCCCATTCCCAACCGGCATTTGGTCCAGCATTGGACTTGCTGCTATTCCACCACCACGAACTGGGGTTTTATCACTGGAATATCCCACCCCATTCCCACAACTCACGTGCCCAGGACCTCCCGGAACTCATAGATCCGACGAATATCCTCCGTCCTCTTCTTCCAGCTGGATCGGTCCTGCCCCAGCGGCATGATGCCCCGTGGGGACACCGGTGTCCTACCCATGACACCACCGCGGTCAGTGCGGGCACAACGGGGGTGATAAAGGGATGCGGTCCATGGGAGGTGGTGATGGGGATAACGGAGTTTGGGGTGTTTTGGAGGGGGGAAGACGCGTTGGGCCCCTCCCAGTGCCCGCCCGCAGCGGCGGGAACCGGGAAGGGTCCAAGCAACGCTTCTGGGTGCGTTTGGGGGTCCCCATAATGAAGCGTTTCCCCCGTTTCCCCCCCTCTCAACACCGTCCCTTCACCCCTTACCGACGTCTCTGCGGTGGCCCCGGGCCCCCGGCGGTGGTGACGCCTCCCAGCGCTGACGTCACGGGGAACGGGGGTGTGGCCACCCAATGGGAAGGGCCGGGTTTGGCGCGGACGCGCGCGGCTACGCGGGAGTTTGGCGGCGCGGGATGAAGGGGGGATATGGACACACGCACACGTGGGTTTGGGGACATCCCCCCCATTCCCATCTCATGGGGGTGTGCGGAGGGGTTGGGGACCTTGGGATTGTGTTGTCCCCTTCACGTTGAGCCCAGTATAAGCAGGACCCACCCTATAGCATCCTGCCCCGCCCCCCCCCGGCCAAATATCCCCAAAGCCATTACACCATTGCTTACACCAGAGCTGCCTTTATTTCTACACGGTGGTAGATAACAACAGTACATGGGGAGCCCGGGTATCACCCCAGTGTGACCCTTCCCACCCCACACCCCAACTGGAGGGTTGGGATAAGCCCCCCAGGGCCATGGGGAGGGATAAGGGACTGTGGGGACTGCACCACAGCCACCATCGATGTCCATCCCTTGGTTGGTGTCACCCTCCCTGAATAACAGAGGGACACAGGAGTGGAAGCTACTGGTGAGGGGGGGACCCTCCTGTCTCCTGGGTGGGTGACAGCCCCATGTCGGGTGGCCAAGCAGGCCTGGGGCATGCAGGCACCTGCACCCCTCTGTCCCACACTGCACGGTGAGCACAGGCACGCTGGCACTTTGCAGGTGACAGGGACACAGCCACCACCCCTGGCTGCTGAAGTCCATGGCCTGGGGGGGGGCCTCCTCAGCCCCCCATTACCCATCCAGCAGCTTGAGGATGCTCTCCCGCTCCTTCAGGGTCTTCCAAGCCTGGTCCTTCTCCTTCTTGGTGGGCGTTCGCTTCTTCTGCCGGGCTGCCATGATCTTGCGGAAGGCATCCATCACCTCGTTGTCAGCCATGCGAACGCGCTGCCGCAGCTCCTGCCGGTGCAGCTCCTCCTTGGCCAGCCTACGGACACGGGGGTGTCACGTCCACACCTTCCTGCTTGCCCTTGCACCCCAATCCCTGCCCGCTCTCACCGCAGCAGCTCGTGCTTCTTGGCGCGGTTGTGGGCACTGAGCGCCTTGAGCTCCGCCTGCCTCTTGCGCAGCTCCGCCAGGACCTCGTCCTCCGAGTCCTCTGCAGGCCGGTCCTCGGACTCCAGCAGGCCCTGGGCCACCAGCTCCTCCTTGATGCGTCCCTCCAGGGACTTGGTGTGTGGGACGCTGCGGGGCGCAGAGGGGATGCTGCTCCCACCACGCTCCCCAGCACTCAGCACCAAGCAGGGAAGGCACCGAGCCCCGGGCCCAGCTCGCCCGCTCACCTGAAGGGCTTGTTCTGGCTGCGGGGAGACGTTCCAGCACCGTCAGCACCCGAGTCCTTGCCGGAGATCTCGGGGATGGGGGAGTCCTCAACGGGGGAGATGATGTTCTCCTGGTGAGCAGAGCACGAAGTGGGCACAGCGCTGGAGCGTGGTGGCACTGCCCCATGGGGTACGGGCACGGCACAGCCCCACGGAGCCCACTCACCTCCACGAGGGCCTGCAGGAGACGCTGCGTCAGGGGCCCAAAGGGACACCCGTCCTCTGGCTGCTCATGCTGGGCTTCTGACTTCTTCAGGAGAGCGTCAACATCTGCAAGGAAGCAAGATGGAAAAGCCCCAAAGAGAGGTGAGCAGCGAGGCCAGGACGCCTTCCACCCCCAGGGCTTGGTGGGGATGCTCCCAACCCCTCCAGGCGCTGTCAGGCTGGGGACAGCAGCACCTTTGGTGTCCAGCTCGGTGAGGGGCCCCAGGACACCTTTCTTCTTGTCAGCAGCAGCTGCGGCCCGGGCTCCATCCTTCTGCTCCTCCAGCAGGTCCTCCTGGGCCCAGCGCTGGGAATAATGCTTCCCCAGGGGTGGGATCTGCAGGAGCAGGGCTCGCACAGCTCCCGGAGCTTCCTGCCTCATCAGCACCGTGGCATCGTTCCGGGCAGGAACGCTGGCTGTGAGGTGCAGGGCAAAGGGAGGGTAGGAAATGGGCTTGGGGGTTTTTCACCTTGTAATGCTCAGCCTCATCCTCCGGCGGCTTGAGCAGCTCCTCCAGGACTCTGACCTCCTCATTGGTGAGGTCGGCACAGTACGGCTCCACCGATGCCCAGAACCTGTGGGGATGGATGAGCTGTGATGGAGAGCCCCAGGGCATCCTGCAGGAGCTGGCACACAACCCCTTCCCTCCAGGCACCTCAGCCGCCCCGACACCCACCTGTTTGGAGCATCATTTTTGGGGATGCGGGGCACGTCAATGGGATCATCCTGGAACTCGTATTCCTGGATCTTGGGCTGCAGGTTCTTGGATTTGGGCCTGCCGGGGCCAGGCCCGGTCCCGTGCCCCCCTTTCCCCTCCAGCTTCTGCTTTTTGGGCTTCCCGTGTTTGACAGAGGTGCCCACATCGTGCTCCTTGCTCAGCTTCAGGAACCGCCGGTCGCCCTTCTTGTCCTGCCAATCCGTCAGGATCTGGAAAGAGAGCGATACCCGCGCTCGGGTCCGGGCTGGGAGGGATGCAGGCAGCTGCAGGACCGGGATGAGGAGCATCCCTACGGCACCTGAGTCTCGGCCTCCAGCACCCGGAGGCGGCGGCTGGCGGAGGAGAGCAGCGTCTCCAGCTCCAGCTGCAGCGTGTCCAGCTCCTCGATGCCGATGCCGTCGTCCTCGGAGCGGGCCAGCACGGCCGTGTACCGCGGGCAAACCTTCCCGTGGTCCACAGACTTGAAGTCGTGGAACTGCAGCGGGCAGTCCTTCAGCTCGGACATGGCGGCGGGCACCGGGGGCTACGGCGGAACCGGGGGGGGAACACTGGAGCGGAGCGAGGGGCTGCAGGGCCGCTCGCCCCTTCCGGCCGCCGTCGGTGGTGCTCGCCCCGCCCCTCGCGCTCTCCGATTGGCCCAGCCACGCCCAGTGCCCATCGCTCATTGGCCCGGTCCTCTTTCCATCTCGCTTCCCTAATATGGAAGCTCTGACAGGCGCGTACCAAGCACAGTGGACGGGGGTGGTGAAGCGGTGCGGGATCCCGCTGCGGGGCGCCTCTGCCGCTCCCGTTCTCCAGCGAGGCCTCATCTCCGCCGCACCCTCGCTCTGTGCCTCGGCGAGGCCTCGCTACCCCCTCCCAGGCCCTCAGCTCGGGATAGGGCTGGGTAGCAGACACCCATCACCCCCTCTGCCACCGCAGTGGGAGGTGCCGCGCATCGGGGAAGAGGAGACCGGCTACTTCCGCCTGGCGGGACCGGACCGCAGCAGTCACCATGGTAGGGCGGGGGGCACCGGGCCGGGGGCGGCGGGGCCGGGCCCGTGGGGGGCAGCGGGAGCCGCGGGTGCCGGTATCGGTGCTGATGCCGCCGTGTCCCCGCAGACCGCCACGCTGCGCCCGTACCTGAACGCGGTGCGCGCCACGCTGCAGGCCGCGCTGTGCCTCGAGAACTTCTCCTCGCAGGTGGTGGAGCGGCACAACAAGCCCGAGGTGGAAGTCAGGTACGGCGGGGAGCGGGCCGGGACCCCGGGAGGGCTGGCGGGGGATGGACGGCTCGAAGCATCCTGGGGCAGCGGGGAGGAAGGAGCCTCCCCGCGACTGCGCATCCCCGTTCGGTTCTGGTCCCCCCCCATCCCCGTTCGGTTCTGGTCCCCCCCCATCCCCGTTCGGTTCTGATCCCCCCCCATCCCCGTTCGGTTCTGATCGCCCCCCATCCCCGTTCGGTTCTGATCCGCCCCCCATCCCCGTTCGGTTCGATCCGCCCCCCATCCCCGTTCGGTTCTGATCCGCCCCCCATCCCCGTTCGGTTCTGATCCCCCCCATCCCCGTTCGGTTCTGATCCCCCCCCATCCCCTTTCGGTTCTGACCCCCCCCATCCCCTTTCGGTTCTAGCACCCCCCCATCCCCCTTCGGTTCTGACCCCCCCCCTCCCCGTTCGGTTCTGACCCCCCCCATCCCCGTTCGGTTCTGATCCCCCCCATCCCCGTTCTGTTCTAACCCCCCCCCATCCCCGTTGCTGAGCTGTAAACCCTTCCCTGTGAGTCAGCGCTGCCGTTCCTCTGCTCGCAGGAGCAGCAAAGAGCTGCTGTTGCAGCCGGTGATCATCAGCAGGAACGAGAAGGAGAAGGTGCTCATCGAGGGCTCCATTAACTCCGTGCGCGTCAGCATCGCGGTGAAGCAGGTGAGGTTTGGCCGCAGGGGGAAGCTTCAGTCCCCTCTCGCTTCCCTCTCACTTCCCTCTCACCCCTTCCCTTCCCTCCCCTCTCCCCAGGCCGATGAGATCGAGAAGATCTTGTGCCACAAATTCATGCGCTTCATGATGATGAGGGCCGAGAACTTCTTCATTCTGCGCAGGAAGCCCGTGGAGGTGAGGGGCTGGGATGGGGCCGAGCTCCCAGCACCGGGGGGGTCTCCAGTGATGGATGTAAGGGTGCATGGATGGTGTCCCGGGTGTTCATCCGCAGGGCGCTTCTCTCTCCCCCAGGGCTACGACATCAGCTTCTTGATCACGAACTTCCACACGGAGCAGATGTACAAGCACAAGCTGGTGGACTTTGTCATCCACTTCATGGAGGAGATCGACAAGGAGATCAGCGAGATGAAGCTGTCTGTCAACGCCAGGGCCCGCATCGTGGCGGAGGAATTCCTCAAGAACGTGAGGAGGCGGATCCCTCGTGTTGGGATTTTGGGAATGGGGTGTGGGGCTCCAAGCCAGTGTGGTTCTAAAGGCCAGAGCCCCCCAGTCCCACCTATGGGGACAGCAGTGCCAGTGTGCCCATGACCTTCTTGGAGACAGGGTGGGGGGATGCTCAGGGTAGGGGGTGCTCAGGGTGGGAGGATGCTCAGGGTATGGGGATGCTCAGGGTGGGGGGATGCTCAGGGTGAAGGGATGCTCATACCCCCTTTGTGTGGGAAGTGCTGAGTTTGGGATCCCCAGAGCACGCCGAGGGGGGGCAGCAGCCACCAAGGGCACAGCCCTGGGGATGCTGGGGCACACAGGGGCTCACAGGGGCTCGCAGCCACCTCTTCTCCTCTTGCCTTGCAGTTCTAGGCCGTGGTGCAGGACCCCGTGGCTCCCCAACGCTTGTGCCTGCTCCCGCTCCCCACCGAGGATGGCCGGGCCGGGCCGGGCCCTGCCTGCCCCTCACCGTGCCGGGGGGGCCGGGCCGGGAGCAGCGCCCGCTTGCGGCAGAGCGGCCCCGGCCGTGCCCGTGTCTCGTCGTGTTTTATAAACGGTCTCGTTTGCTGTAGCCGCTGCTTCGGGCTCGTTCCTCTCGCCGGGACGGGGCAGGTGGAACCGGGGGGGGGCGGCAGACACCGTGGAACCCCCCCCCCCGGGGATGTGGAATGCCGGGCTCCTGATGGAGCTCCATAGCAACTGCAGATGGAGGGGGCGGTCCCGACGGTGGGGCAGGACCTGTGGTGGGAGGAGCAGAGGGGGTGGCCTTAAAAGGGGGGATAAATGGGGCTGAAGGAGGATGTTGGGGGACGGGGGTCGAGATGTGGGGCACGAAAGAGTGAGGGTTGGGGGTGTCTCGATGAGAAAGGGGTCTGGGAGGATGGGGGTGGTGTTTGTACCCCTTCGGGGCAGTGGGGCCAGTGCGGTGCCCAGGGATGGTGCAGGGTTGGGGGGGGTCCATGTACTGGACCCGACCTCAGTCCCCAAGGGGAGAGGGGATGCGCTTGGTCCCTGGGGATGCAAAGGAGTCACCCTCTCGTTGGCACACAGACCCCCGCAGCCAGGCTTGAGGGGGGACTGCCAGGGTAAGTGATGTTCCTGGTTGTGTTGGGGGGCTGAGTGGGGCCTTTGGGCCCCGTGAGGCACCCCTGGGGGTTGCAGAGCAGCCGGGACTCCAGCACGAGGCTCTGACCTGGTGCATGCTTGGTCACCATGGAGCTGCTGAGGACCAGGCAGCACAGGGAGGAGGCTGTCAAGGTGAGGCCCGATTACACACGCACCTTACAACATGCCATGTACACGTGTTTATTGGTTTATGGCTGAGCACTTGCATCCCTGCTCCACGGTGCGGAGCCCCTACCCCATCATCCGCAATGTGCTGCGGGCACGGGGCTGTGTGGAGCAGTTCTCCAACACCGTCAGGGTGGGCACCCTCTTGTGGCAGCAGCAGGACACTGGGAAAGTGCTGTATGAGGGCAATGAGCAGTGGGAGTCAGTGCTGGGTGCTGGGTCCAGAGCCAGGGTCTCGGCATCCTGCTGGGCTCAGCCCTCAGTGGAGATCCCGGAGCCTCCGGAGGAGGAGGATGCCCACTGGTATGATGAGGAACCTCGATGGCATCCACAACATCAGGGTTAGTGGTGAGGGCCAGGGCTGGACTCCGCAGGGCACAGCCTGGGCTGGGTGGTGAGGGTGGGATGGGGGCTCCACAGCTCACCCCAGTCCCCTCTGTCCCTCCTGCAGTCCTCCATGGTGCAGGACCAGATGCCGACCTTCATCTGGACCAGCCAGAGCGGAGATGTCAACTTTTGGCTGCTGCAGGACCACCAGGTGGTGAACCACTTCAATGGCATCAGGGCCTTCACCACCAAGGTGAGAGCCTGGGGATGCTGGGGACATGGTGCTGTGGTGCCTGTCACCTTTGGTACCCAAACCAAGTCATTTATGGACACCAAGCCTCCCGCGACCCCCAAGCCAAAGGGCAGAACCACTCAGCTCCCACAGGCTGGAGCAGCACAGGTCCAGCCAGCTCCTCTGGGGCAATTGTGCTCCTTCTTCTCCTCTGGCTCTGTCCCCCAGGCACCACCACAGCCCAGCTCCAGAGGGCTCAAGTCCCTCTGCCCCTATGTGGGGCCAGTGCCCTGCCCAAGGCACCCCCTCCACCAGCTGCAGCCCCACCAAGGACCCTGCCTGCATGCCCTGGGCAGCCGAGCTGTGCTGCAGGCAGGGGTCACACAGCAGCACCCGCGGGCAGGCTGAAGAGCTGCTACAGGCCATGAAGGAGGGGACAGCATCCTGCCCAGCCTAATGGGGCAGCACAGCAGCAACCCCATCCCCCTTAACTCAAGCAGAACCCGTCCCCGCATAGGGACACCCATGCCACCAACCGTGGGGTGATGAAACAGTACTGAAACACACCAACCGTGTTTCAAAACCCCACGTGTGGGGTGGGAGGATGCAGTGGGAACCGGGGCTGCGGGCAGGAACCGGGGCAGGAAAAGCCGCCTCTGCTCTTGCCTGCGGTCACGGCTGTGAGACAGAGCCATAGCAGTGGTGACACCGGCAGTGAAAACCAGGTCAGGCACTGGTGTCACGTCACCATGTTGATGATGTGTCCCCAGGAGGAGAAACGGGTGCTGCACACCGAGGTGAGACGTGAGGATTTAATAGGGTGGCAGAAGGCACTGGGTGCTACAGCTCCAGGTGCCCGGGCAGCCCCAGGCGCTGCAGCGTGCGCAGGAAGGGCAGTGGTGGTGGGGCACGGATCGGGCCCTGCGGCAGCACCAGCTCCTGCAGGTGGATGTGCAGCGGGAGGTGCCGGAGCTGCTGCGGGGAGAGCCCCAACCGCTGCAGCAGCGCCTCGTCCAGCACCTGCAATGGGGAGAGCAGCTCAGTGGGGCCCTGGGGGCTGTGCTGAGCACCCCAGGCAGCACCCACTGTGACCATGTACCTGTGTGCGGGGTGCAGCGGGCTCGGGGGGCAGGAGGAAAGGCACCCCCAGCACCCTGCCCACCCGGGATGAGTGCTGGTGGTCACCCAGAGCTGGGCACAGCAGCAGCGTCAGGTGAACCGGGAGCTGCTCCGGGAAGGCTGGAAGGCAGCGGGAAGGGCACTGGGATCATGGCGGGGGGGGCACAGGGAGGGGTTTTGGGGCACCACTCACCCGTCCTGGGCTGGAGCTGGAGCAGGGCGCAGCCCCCCGCGGCCCCCAGCACCCGGTACCGTGTCAGGGTGTTCTTCACCTCCTTCCTGGCCAAGCTCCCGCGGCCCGGCGTCGGCACCGGCACCACCTGCGGCACCACCACAGCCTTCAGCCCCCCCACCCCGTTCCGGGTCACCCCCCTGCTGTGCCCATAACCCCCCCCCCGTACCCCCTTACCACAGCGGTGTCACCCTGCTGCTGCCAGCACAGCCCGGTGCGGATCTCGCCCTCCGGCTCGGCCGGGACCCCCACGGTGACAGCGCTGTGGGGAGAAGGGGATGAGGAGGGGACAGGACCCCTCCATGGTGCCACGGTGACAGCCCGGGGACTCACCGGTACGTGACTGGGTACTGGCCTCGCTGGCGAGCACCGGTGAAGTACTGCTGGAGCTCCTCGGTGGTGCGATGGCAGCTGGACAGGAGGGTGAGGCCGGAGTATTCCCTGTGGGACGTGACAGCCCTGAGCCCCATAGAGGGGGAGCGGCCCCCCTTGAGCCCCCTTCACCCGTACCTGGCCGGAGCCTTCACCACGTGGAGCTCGGCGGGGAGCCCCAGGCGCCGCCGCAGCGCCGGCAGCAGCAGGGACAGGCTCAGCTCCCCGGGCCGCCCTAGGCAATGGGGGGGGGGGGGGTGTGTCAGCACACGCTGTGCCCCCCAAACCCGATCCCTCCCCAATTCCTGCACCCCCCGCCCCGCACTCACCCAGCACAGGCAGGCCGGGGGGTTTGCTCAGCGCCAGCACGGCTCCTGGTGAAGGGATGCGGGTCAGGATGTGCCCGAAACCCCCCCCCCCCACCCCCCGCGTTCCCCTTTGGTACCTTCCCGGTGCACCACAGAGGCCTCCAGCAGCCCCAGCGTCTCCTCAGGGCCCAGCGGCCGCCTCCATCTGTGGGGTGTAAGTAGGGGGGGCACGAGTGGAACACACACACACACACCTCCCCTCCTGGTTGTGGGACACCCCCCGGTTATGGGAACCCCCCATCCGGTTCAGCCCACCCCCCCCCGGGTTATTGGAACTCCCCGGTTATAGGACACCCGCCCCCTCCCCGGTTACGGCCCCCACACACCCCGGTTATGGACCCCCCCCAATCTGACCCCGCTGCTCTCGCCCGCCGCCCCGCGCGCGCCAGCCCGGCCGCCATGTCATCAGTGCGCGGAGGCGGAGCCGAGCGGGGGCGCTCCTCGCATCTACCATAGAGCCGGCCCTCCCGGCGGCGCAGAGCGGCCTACCTCAGCGGCCGGTGCCGGCGGGGCTGCGGCTATAGAAAGGCGGAAGTGCGGGCAGAGCGTCCCGCCGGCAGGTGGGGTGCGGCGGGGGGCGCCGGGCTGGCTGGGGGGGGGGGGGGTGGGTCTGTGTCGGTCCGGTGCCGCTCACGCTGTGCCTCCCCAGGGCAGCACCATGGCTTCCCGCGGGGGGCCCCGCGCCGCCGGCACCGACGGCAGCGACTTCCAGCACCGGGAGCGTGTGGCCTCGCACTACCAGATGAGGTGGGTGCCCGGCCGGATGCGGGTGTGCGTGCGGGGCTCCGTGTCCCCCCTCCATCACCCGGTGATGCTCTGTGCTCCCCCCGCAGCGTGACCCTCAAGTCGGAGATCAAGAAGCTGATCTACACACACGTGTGCATCTGGCTGCTGCTGCTGGCCCAGATGTGCGTGGGGCACCTCAAGCTGCTGCCCCACGACCAAGTGGCCATGCCCTACCAGTGGGAGTACCCGTACCTGCTCAGCATCCTGCCCTCGCTGCTGGGCCTCCTCTCCTTCCCCCGCAACAACATCAGCTACCTGGTGCTCTCCATGATCAGCACCGGGCTCTTCTCCGTGGCTCCGCTCATCTATGGGGCTATGGAGATGTTCCCCATGGCGCAGCAGCTCTACCGGCACGGCAAAGCTTACCGCTTCATCTTCGGCTTCTCGGCTGTGTCCGTCATGTACCTGGTGGTGGTGGTGGCCGCTCAGGTGCACGGCTGGCAGCTCTACTACAGCAAGAAGCTGCTGGACTCCTGGTTCACCAGCACGCAGGAGAAGAAGAAGAAATGAGGAGCGATGGGGTCTGCGAGGGATGGAGCTCTGCAGCCGGGCCCTGTGGGGCAGCGCTGGTGCGGCTCCGGTGCGGGCTCCCCCCCCATCCCGGGACCAACGTGTCTGAGCCATGCCACGGCTCCGGGATCGCATGTAACGGGGGGGGGGGGAGACCCGGTGCTGGGGAGGGGGTCCCGATCCTCCGCGTGTTTCTGTATGGAAATAAAGCAGCTCCGCGCTCCCACGCGTGTCTGTGCCGCCCGGTGGCGGGGCGGGCGGAGCGGCGGGGCCACACGTGCCGGCGGAGGAATGCGGCGGGGCCGGCCCGGGGCGGGGCGGGGAGCGGAGCGGAGCGGGTCGGAGCGGCCATGGGGAGCTCGGTGCTGCTCGCTGCCGCCGCGTTGCTGCTGCTGCCGCCGCTCACCGGGACCGGAGCCGCCGTCACCCGCCTGCGGGTCTCCTCCAACTTCGTGAGCGACGGGGGAACGGGGAGGCGGTGGGGAGGGAGGCGGAGGGCGGGCGGCGCCGCGCTCACTCCGGTGTCTTTGCTTGCAGAAGTGCTGGGCCACCGGTGAGTAGCGTCGGGACCGGGATGGGGCTGCGAACGCGGGGCTCCATCCGCTCGCTGATACCGGGTCCTGGAGGCGGGGGTTCCCCTTACCCGCGGTTCTCCCTTCTCGGGGCTCCCCCCTCCCGGTGTTCCCGGTGTGCCGAGCACCCGCCCCGCCGTGGACTCCCGGTCCCGGCTGTACGCGGACCCCGGCCGCCGCTCTCTGCTCTCCCCTCCCCGCAGCCGACAGCACATTGAGCCGCCCCCGGTGCCGCCGCCCGTCCCGGGCCGGGCCGGCGCTGAACGCACCCGCCCTGGAGCTGGGCAGGGCCCGCCTGTGCCTGCACTCGCAGCGCTGCCAGCCCTGCCTGCGGGTGCGCCTGGCCCTCCCCTCCGCAGGTACGGGCAGGGGCACCGCGCACCCCCCGTCGGTGCGGGGGGGATGTGGGGGTAAAAAGGGGAGCTCGGGGCTCATCTCCCACCCGTGCCCGCTCCCCACGCTGGTTTCCCGCAGAGCTCGGTGATGTCCGTGGGCTCCGGCTCAACTTCCTGGAGCTTGGCTCCAACCGGGCAAGCTGGCTGCAGGTGTGGCGGCGGCACCGGGCAGCGGGCAGCTCACCGGTGAGTCTGGGGTGGGTCGGACGGGGCGGAGCCGTCGGTGTCCCGCTGAACCCCCCACCCCATACACACACACACACCCCGGTTCCCGCAGTGGCAGGTACAGTTCGACTGCTTCCCGGTGGAGAGCGGCCGGCAGGTCCTTGTCTCCCTCCGCACTATCCCCGACCGAGGCTGGACCCTCAGCCGCAGCCGCCTGGTGGCTGCTGAACTGCCCGGTGAGGCTGGGGGGGACCGGAGGGGTCTCGAGGGATGGGGGACACACAAACGGGCACCAGCTGACCCCTGCCTGCTCCGCAGGACCCGTCTTCACCCATACGTGGGTGCCCGAGGAAAGGGCCATCAAAGTGTGGGTGCCCGAGGGCCCGGCCCTCATGGTGCGGCTGTGCCATCAGCTCGCCCTGGAGTGCGAGGAGCTGCCCCGGCCCTTCCACCAGCAGGTAACGGCTCCGTTCCCCACCACACCAGGCTGGGATTCGTGTTCCCCTCCACTGATGCTGCCTCCATACCATAGGTGCTGGTGAAGGGGGGCCACCGCATCTCGCTGCCATACGAGTTCCTGGTGCCCTGTTTATGCATTGAGGTGCGTCGCCCATCCCCGTGGCCTCTGGGCCCGTGCAGCGAGGGCTCATCCTGCCCTGACCCCCCCCTCCCCACTCTGCTCCCCCAGGCCTCCTACCCGCACCACGACAGCACACGCAGCAAGCGCTGCCCCTTCCGCGACCAGCCGGCTGCCTGTGAGTGCCCATGGGGAGAAGGGACCCCAGTCCTGGGGGTGTCCCCCCCCCCCCCCCAGCCCCACTGACCCGGTGCCCCGCAGATGTCCCCGAGCTGTGGTCCTCGGTGCGCTTCCACGACTACAGCGCCAGCAGCAAGGACCAGATGGCGATGGTGCTGAGCGCCAGCTGCCCCCTGCACCCCCGCGCCACCCTGTGCTGGAGGGAGGTGGCGGCTGAGGCTGCGCCGTGCCACGACATCCCCAACTCCACGGCCAGCGAGGAGGACCAGGTAAAGGGTCCTGGGTTTGGGGTGCTGGGGCACCCACCAGACCCCCAGGGACCCCTGAGGGTGGTGGGGAGGTGCTGCGGTGCCCATGGGCTGTGCAGGTTCGGGATGGGGATGCTCTCTCTGCCCATTCCAGGCATACACACTGGACAAGGTGGATGTGCACCCCCAGCTCTGCTTTCGGGTAAGCCCCCATGGGTAGGTGGGCACCAGTGCTTGGTGGGGGGGCTCTGGGGCTCCCCCAGCCCCTTACTGATCCCTGTTCTTCCCAGTTCTCCTATGGGAACAGCAGCCACGTGGAGTGTCCCCACCGGCCAGGTGAGCCCTATAGATCGGGGTGCACCCCTGCCCTGGGGTCCCTCGCACCCCTCATCCCCTTGGGCATCCCACAAGCCCCCTGCTTCTCTCCCCGGTGACCGCAGAGACCGCCTGGAACGTCTCAGTGAGCGTCCGAGGGCTGCAGCTGCGCCTGCACCTCATCTCCAGCATCCCCGCAGCCTTCAGTGCATCCCTCTGCCAGCGCCGGGGCGGGCAGTGCGAGCCCGAGCCCCCCCTCTACACTGTCACACAGGTGAGTGGTGTGGGGCTGGGGAGGGGGACACGGTGGGGACCGACCCACACCGACCCTTCTCTTGTGCTTTGCAGCCGGAGGGCTCAGCCCCGGGGGAGCTGGCGCTGCTGCTGCCGATGCAGGTCCTGGGCAGCTGCGTGCTGGTGAGGTGACCCCCGTACCAGCACCCCCACTATGGGGGGGGACCCCAACCCCAACCCGGCTCCTCCTCACACAGCCTCTTCCCCAGGTCTGGCGCTCGGACGTGCGCTTTGCTCGGAAGCAGCTGCTCTGTCCCGATGGTGAGTGAGGGTCCTGGGGAGCCACGGGGGGTGATGGGGGTGCACGGAACCCCCATTCCCTCACTGCCCCTCTCCCAGTCTCCCGCAGGCACTTTGGGCTGCTGGGGTTGGCACTGGTGCTGGGGCTGGTGGTGACCGTGCTGCTCCTCAATTGCCGCGGCGCCTGGAGGCCTGATGATGGTGAGGGGCACTCCTGGGCGGGGGGGATGCAGGAGGGGGGAACAGTGCTCATGGTACCCACAGGGCTGGGGTGCTGCCTGCCTGGGCTGCAGCGTGGATGCACAGGGATGGTCTGGGGGATGCCCGGTGTGTCCCCAGCGGATGGGGAGCGGCTCGGGGCAGGGCTGGCACCGCTGTCCCCTCCACCCGCAGGTCCCGCGGGCGCTCGCCCCGTGCTGCTGCTGTACTCGCCGGACTCGGAGGAGCACCTGGGGCTCGTGTGCGCCCTGGCCGAGCGGCTCCGCGCCGGGCTGGGCTGCGACGTGCGCCTGGACCTGTGGGAAGCGGGCGGCTTGGGGCAGGCGGGGACCCTGCCCTGGCTGTACGCGCAGCGCAGCACCGTGGGCCGGCAGCGCGGCACCGTCCTGCTCCTCTGGAGCCGCGGCAGCGCCCGGCTCTTCCGCCGGTGGCGGGGCGGGGCGGCGGGCGGGGACCCCCCCGGGGATGCTCACGACATCTTCGGGGCGGCCATGTCCTGCCTGCACGGGGAGCTGGGCGCGGGGGGGCGCGGCAGGGGCTGGGTCCTGGCGTACTTCAGCCGGCTCTGCAGCCCCCGCGATGTGCCCCGGCCGCTGCGGCCGCTGCCCACCTACCGCCTGCCCCGGCAGCTGCCCGGCCTCATGGGCGCCCTGCGGGGCAGCCCCCCGGCCCCCCGCCGCTGCTGTCCCGGTGGGGTCGGGGGGCTCCTGCACCGGCTGGGAGCCAGGGAGCGCAGCCCCCCCCCGCGGCACATGGGAGCGGCTACCGGCACTTGAGGGGTTGCGCTGGGGCTGAGCTGGGCATTGCGGGGGGGCGGCCCCCCCCCGTTGTGGAGGTGGCAGGGCTCGGCGGTGCCCGTGGGGGCACAAGGAGGAGCTGGTCCCAGCTGTAGGATGTGCTGTGGACAGGGATGAGCGTCCAGGCCGTGGAGCTGGGAGCGGAGGTGCTGTCCCGGGCAGGGGCAGCTTTATTTCCACACAGGGATTTGCTCCAGAGGAAAACCAGGACCCGAGAAGCCCCTCGGGATGTCACAGACGGGCGAGGGCTGGAGCAGCAATGGAAGAAGCTGAGTCGTGGCAGGGGGAGCAACTGCTGGGCACAGCCTGGCCCTGCTCCTTGCTCTTGCTGCCAGCAGGACCGTGTCTGGGGTGGAAGCAATAAAGGCACCGTTTCACCCTCTCCTGCTCTCCGTCCATGCCGTGTGCTGGGGTGCCCGGTGCTCCCCTGAAGCACGGCAGGGGGCAAGAGGGGGTATAGGGCAGGACATGGCATAACCACGGCTCCGTGTGCGGCTCCCGGGCTGGTCCGGGTTCTGAAACCACCGTGCGCTGGATCCCGTCCATGGGGATCAGGGAGGCCCCACCCCGGGGCGGCACCAGCGAGGACCCGGGTGTCCGGGATCGGAGCAGGAAGCGGGAGCCGGTGGCGGCCGCGGGGCCCGTGGAGCCGGGAGCGGGGCTGTGGGCAGAGGATAGCGGGGGGCCGGGGCACCCCAGGGCCCCGGCCCCGCCATGGGTGCGCTGGTGCCGCTGGTGCTGGTGCTGGTGGTGACGGGCGGGCGCGGTGCGGCCCGGGACACCTTGGCCTGCACACAGGTGGGTCGGTGGCACCAGCACAAGGGATGCCGGGCACCGCGGCACCGGCTTCACCATCGCCTCCCACCAGGGCCTCGCCTGCCGCCTCCTGGGTAAGTGCCACTGCCATAGGACGTGGGACTTGGCACCCATACCCCTGCACCCACGGACCCGTGGCCACCCTCTGCCTGCCCCCCCCCCAGACCCCGATGTGCTGTGCGGGATGGAGCCGCAGGGATCTCCCCATGGGCTCGCCCTGTCTCGGCTGCGGCTGGAGCCGGCGCTGCGCTGCACCGGAGCCAGGGCCTGCGCTCCCTGCCTGGAGGCACGGCTGCGCCTGGCTGTGCCTCCTGCGGCAGGGCACGGCGGTGATGCGGGACGGGGGTCACCAGAGCGTGGGGACCCCTCTCCCCAGCACAACGCCAGCGGGGTGCTGCTGCTCGCCGCGCACACGTACACCTCCTCCCGCTGCGTGGCCATGGAGGTCTGGGCACCCATAGGCACTGCGCTGCCCGGGAGGATGCTGGTATGGAGGTGGGGGTACCAGGGATGGGTGTCCCCAGCAGTCGCTGGGCACTGTGGGTGCTGGCCCCGCTGCACCTCTGTGGTGTGGAGGTCCTGTTCCTGTATTGCCACAGCTCGGGGGTGGTTTTCCTGCCCAGGGCTGGGTTACATTCCGGTGCTTTGAGGCCCCGCTGGGCTCCGAGCTCCGTGTCACGGCGCACACCACCACGCACGGCCACCGGAGGCTGAGCCAGCTGCAGCGGGTACCAGGTGAGCCCCCCCCCATGCACCCCAGTGTGGCAGCACCATCCCCCCTGTGCCTGCTGACCCCCTGTCCCCGCAGACTGCTCGTGGCCTGTGGCACAGAGTGCTGTCACCCAGTGCCAAGGTAGGTGATGGTGACCCCCACACCTTGGTGCATGTCCGATATGGAGGGCCGGGTGATGGATGCTGGGGGAGATGGTGAGGGTGACCCCTGTGGTGCTGTGCCCTGTGCCGCAGCACCCAGGTTGCAGGTCTCCCCGGGGCCCAAGGAGGTGGTCATTGAGGTGCAGGGGGCGATGCCAGGGCACAGCTACACCCTCCGGCTCTACCACAACCAAAGCCATGGCACAGGCGGGCCGGGGCGCGTGGTGACTGTGGTGAGTGTGACCCCACCCCGGCCCCCCTACCCCGTCCCCAGGAAGCCGTGTCTGTGTTACAGGCAGGGCGCTGGTGTCACCCCGTGCTGGGTGATGCTGCCGGGGGGGGGGGATTTGCCATGGGGTGACCCACATCTGGTTGCTGGTAGCAGAGCAGCAACGTGAGCTACAGCCTGCCAGCCGAGGAGGTGCTGCCCTGCCTCTGCCTGCAGGTCAGTGTGTGGGCGGGCACTGTGTGTCCCCCACATCCAGCATCCCAAGGCCATGGACACCCCAAATCCTTCTCTCTTTTCCTCCCCTCCCAGGTGTGGCTGGAGACCCAGGACCCGTTGCGGGCCACCCTGTGCCCCTTCTCCCATGGTACCTGTGCTATGGGGCTGGGCTGGGGCACAGAGGGACCCATGGGGACACCATGGGGTGACACTTGTGTCCGGTGCCACCACAGATGCCAGGGCCTGGCAGCGGCTGTGGGCCCACAGCAGGCTGGTGCTGCACACTGATGCACAGGCACTGACCTGCTCCCTCTCATCCCCCTGTGATCTCTCAGCTGAGCTCATTCCCTGCTGGCAACCAGCACCCACCGGGCCCTGCCAAGCGCTGCCCGGCCTGCGGCACCCCGCTATGGGGCAGGTGAGTGGGGCTCCATGGCGCACCGGGAGCACCGGGGGGCTGTGATGGCACTGATGGAGCATCCCTTCCACCCACAGGGATCCCAGGAGCTTGGGGGGCTGCGGCCACACCCCAACCTTTGTGTGCAAGTAGGACACCCCTCTGCCCCACAGCTGCCCTATGGCTGCCCCATGGGCACCCCTGGGTGCTGCTAACCCGCTCTCTGTGGTAGGTGTGGAGCCACGGGCAGGTCCGGCTGAGCCAGTGCCTGCAGGATCGTGAGTAGAGATGGGGCGGGAGGGCAGGGGCAGGAGCCCCCCATGGATCCCCCCCCAGCCCCTGGCTCACCCACAGGAGCACTGCCCGGCCGCCCCGATGACATCCTGCTGCTGGAGCGCCACGGGAACACCTCGCTGTGTGTGCTGGAGCGGGGCGCATGCACCCCCCTCGCCAGCTTCACCAGCACGGTGAGCGCAGGGTCCCCGTGTCCCGGTAGCGGTGGCACCGCGGCACAGCCGGCTCACCCCGTGCTGGCCTTGCAGGGATTGGGACCCCCGGGGCTGCTGGAGCAGGAGCTGCGGCGGGATGTGGCGATGGGACGGTGCATGCAGGTCAGTGCGGGCAGCAGCGGGGACACGTCCCCAGTGTGTGATGTGCCCCCAGTGTGTGACAGGTCCCCGTGCCCACAGATCTGGCACCATGAGAACGGCACCGCGGTCACGCTCTGGGCCTGTCCCATGCATAAATGTGAGTGTCCCTGGCTGTGCCACGGCAGTTTGGGGCTGGTGGGTGCTCCATGGACACTGTCCCTGCCCCACAGACCTGCGTGCCCGCTGGGTGCTGGCATGGATGGGGGTGCTGCTGGGAGCTGCCTGCCTCCTGCTCCTGCTCCTGCTGAAGAAGGAGAGCATTAAAGGTGAGTGATGCCCATGGGGGGAGTGTTCCCATCCTAAGCCCCCCCTCTCAGGACCTCACCTCACCACCATTCCTCCCCACAGGCTGGCTGAAGTCCCTGCGGGTTGATTACAGCTCTGAGGGTGAGTGTGGGGTGAGCCTAGGGTGATGGGGGGGTCCCCGTTAGGGCTGGTCCCTGCTTGCTTCCCAGGCTGCCCCATAGGTTGGGTTGGGGTGTAGAGGGACAAAACAGAGGATGGGAATCCTATGGAAGTAGGGTTCCCAACCTGGCTCCCAGTATGACTGCTCCTTAGGGTGGGAAAGCGGATGGGTCTTACACAGGGTGGCTGCAGGGTACCCGGGGATGGGTTCAGACACTGACGATGCCCCCCCAGCCCCGCTGCGCGGCCGGCGGGCGCTGCTGGTGCACGCGGTGGAGCCGGTGGCAGAGCGGGCGGCCTGTGCCCTCCTGGCAGCCCTGCGCCCGCTGGGGCTGGCCGTGGCGGCAGCACCGGGAGGCAGCAGCGGGGCGGCAGCGTGGGGACCTCTGCCCTGGCTGCACTCACAGCACCACCGGGCGCTGCGCGGCGGGGACACCATCATCATCCTCCTCTCGCCGGCCGCCGTGGCTGCCGCGCACCAGTGGGACGCTGCCCCCAGCCCCGGTGATGTCCCCAGCACAGCACCATGCGAGGCCTTTGCTGCGGCGCTGGCTTGTGCCGTGCCGGAGCTGGCGGCTGGCAATGGGCGCTATGTGGTGGTCCGGCTTGAGGCCTTGGTGCCGTTGGTGCCACCGGTGCTGCGGGCAGCCCCTGCCTTCGCTCTGCCCAGTGAGACCGTGGGGTTCCTGCGGGCGCTGGCGGCACCGCGGCGGCGGGGACGGTGGCTGGAGCCGTACGTGGCGGCGGTGGCCGAGGGGCTGCAGCGGGCGGTGGGGGAATAAAGAGTGATGGCAGGAGTCCAGGCCAGGTGGTGTGGGGGAGATGGGGAGTGGGATGGACTGGGGAGGGGTGGTGGGAGGTAAGGGGGGAACCGGGGGAAGGGAGGGGGTCTGGGCTGGGTTGGGTGGAGAATGGATGGGAACTGGGATGAGGGGACACTGGACCAGTTCAGAGTGGGATGATGGGAACAGGGAAAATCTGGAGAAGATGAGGGGGAACTGGACCCGCGAATGGGGAATCCTGGGGAACTGGGCCAGTACTGGGGAGATGAGGGGGAACTGGCCCCGTTCAGAGGAGATGATGGGAAACTGGGCAAATCTGAGGGGTAATGAGAGGGAACTGGGCCAGTTCAGAGGAGATGATGGGAAACTGGGCAAACCTGTGGGGGAATGAGAGGGAACTGGACCAGCTCGCTGGCCATGATGGGGAACTGGGACGGCCTGGGAGGGATGAGAGGGATCTGGAGCAGCTCATGGGGATTGATGAACGGGGTAAATCAGGGGACGCTGGGCCAGTTTGGCTGGATGGGAGCAGGTGACCGGTCTGGGGGGGTGACAGAGACCGGTGACAGAGGCGGGTCGGGGGCTGAGGTTCTCTCCCAGGAGCGGGACCGGTGCCCTTGGCGGCGGCCCCTTTAAGGCGGCTGGGAGGCGGGGCCCGACGGGCGGCGCGGATTGGCTGTGAGCGAGGGGGTCGCGGGCCGCGGGCGCGCTGCCATTGGCGGGGGCGGCGGTCGCTGAGTCAGTGGGCGGGGCCAGGCGGTGCGGGCGGGGCGCAGGATGGGGCCGCGGGCGGCCGCGCTGCTGCCGGTGCCGGCCCGGCGGGGGGGGGCGGCGGCGCTGGGGGGGGCCCTGCTCGGGGCCGCGCTGCTCGGGGGGGTCCTGCTGGGGGCCGCCCGCGCCCACCCGGACCCGCACCCGGACCCGCACCCGGACCAGGCCGAGCCGTGCCGGGCCTGCCGCGGCCTCGCCGACAGCTTCAGCAGGGTGCGGGCTGGGGGTACGGGGGGACACGGGCCCTGCATGGGGGGAGCGGGGGTGACTTGGGGGGGGCACAGCCCGGGATGATGGGGGAGCGGGAGCAAAGCGGGAAGCACGGGCTGGGGGGGGGGGGGCAAGGGGGTGCCGGTGGTCCTTAGGAGGGGTGTTTGTGGGCTACACTCCCTATAGCATCCCAAGGGAATGAGGGGTTCCGGGGGGGCACAGCGGCTGGGGTCTGGGGTGGGGAGAGGGTGGAATGGCCATGGGGTGACTTGTTGCAGTAGGGAGGGGGGTGGCATGGGGGGGACTGTATGGGGATGGGTGTTATCAGGGGGTCCCCACTGTGCCCCCCCCTCCCGTGTGTGTGCCCAGGGCCTAGAGAGGACGGAGCACGAAGGCTTCGGCGGGGGTAACACGGCCTGGGAGGAGGAGAAGTTGGCCAAGTACCAGCACAGGTGGGTGCCCGCTGTTAAAGGGGTCTGGGGGGGGGGACACGCACACGTCCCAGTGCTGACCCCCTTATCCCCGCAGCGAGACCCGGCTGCTGGAGGTGCTGGAGGGCGTCTGTGCCCCCTCGGACTTCTCCTGCCACCAGCTGCTGGAGCGCAGCGAGGAGCACGTGGAGCAGTGGTGGTTCCACGAGTGAGTGTGGGGATGGGGACATGGAGGGGGGGCAAGGGGGTGTCAGGGTGCTCAGTGCTGTGTGCCCCCTCCCCAGGCGGCAGCAGCACCCCGACTTCTTCCAATGGCTGTGCATGGACACGCTGGCGCTCTGCTGCCCGCCTGGCACCTACGGCCCCGACTGCCGGCGTGAGTATCTGCGGCACGAGCGGGCACTGCTTGGGATGGAGGGACCCCCCCTCCGGAATGCTGCCCCCCATCCCGGCTGCTCTCTCCCCATGCAGCCTGTGCCGGCGGGCCCCGGCAGCCCTGCAATGGCAACGGGCGATGCGACGGTGATGGCACGCGCCGCGGCACCGGCCTCTGCGTCTGCAGCCCCGGCTATGGCGGCCCCTTCTGCGCCGAGTGCGGTGACGGCTTCTTTGAGGCTTCACGGAACAAGAGCCACCTCGTGTGTGCCGGTCGGTAGGGGTATGGTGGGGGGGTGCACTAACGGGGTCCCCCCTGGCTCTCACACCCGCTGTCCCCTGTCACAGAGTGCTACCGGGCATGCGGGCGCTGCACGGGGCCGGAGGACTCCAGCTGCCTTCGGTGCAAGAGGGGCTGGGTGCTGCACGAGCACCGCTGCATTGGTGAGGGCTGCGGTGGGCAGGAGGCGGGCTGGGGGCTGTGGGGTGAATGGGGCTGATGGGGATGTCCCCCCTCTTCTCCTGCAGACATCGATGAGTGTGGCACGGAGATGGCGCACTGCCGAGCCAACCAGTTCTGCGTCAACACGGAGGGCTCCTACGAGTGCCGAGGTCAGGCAGGTTTGGGTATAGGGGGCTATGGGTTATTCCCCATGGCCTGGGCTGGGAGGGGGCTGTGTTGTTGACCCCAGCTCCTCTCCCCATATCAGACTGCTCCACGGCTTGCATCGGCTGCATGGGCGCTGGGCCGGCTCGCTGCAAGAAATGCAACAAGGGCTATTGGCGGGATGGAGCCAAGTGCCTGGGTGAGTGTGTCCTGTGGGCTCTGCCCCTTCCCCACTGCCCAATCCCTGCCGGATCCCTGCCTGATCCCTGCCTGATCCCTGCCTGATCCCTGCCTTCCCCAGACGTGGATGAGTGCGCCAGCGCCGAGGAGCCGGTGTGCACGGGGGCACAGGAGGTGTGCGAGAACACGGAGGGCAGCTACCGCTGCGTCTGTGCCCGCGGCCACGTGCGCCGGGACGGGCAGTGTGTGGAGGACAAGCCCCCCGGTAAGGCCCGACGCGGTGTGGGGCAGCGAGGCGGGGGTCTCCCCATTTGTTTGTGCCCCCCCTTCAAGCGCCGTCCTTGCAGATGCGCCAGAGAAGGGGTTCTTTGACGACGTGACGGAGGACGAGGTGGTGGTGCTGCAGCAGATGTTCTTTGGGGTGATGATCTGTGCCCTCGCCACGCTGGCTGCCAAGGGGGACATGGTCTTCACCGCCATCTTCATCGGCGCCGTGGCTGCCATGGCTGGCTATTGGCTGTCTGACCGCAGCGACCGCGTCCTCGATGGCTTCATGAAGGGCAGATAGCCGTGGGGCTGTTGGGTGCAGGCCTGGGGTGGAGGGCACTCCCCCAGCAGGGGCTGGCTGCTGAAGCAGCATCCTGTGCGTGGTGCTGTGCCCTGCATGCGTCCCCCAGCCCCACATTAGTGTAGGGTCGTGCCCTCCCTGCTGCAGAGTGAGCTGGGGGTTCCTGATCCCTGGGGGTCCTGCACAGCCTGCTCCGGCCGGTGTGGTGATGCCAGGCAATGTGGCACTGGGATAGGAGGGGCACAGCATGCTGCCCCCCGCCCCACGGCGCTGGAGGGGGGGACCTGGCACCGTGGCGGTTAGGATGATGTGGGGCAGGCCCGGGGGGGTGCTCTGGCACTGCTGGGTGCCGGGCTGGTGATGCTGCTGGCCCCATGCGACCCTGTGTGTGTGTGTGTGTGTCCCCTCCCCATGGGGCAGTGGGGGCTGAGCCATGGCTGTGGGAGAACTGCTCTCCCCCCCAACCCCTTGTCCCCACATCCCTGGGCAGAGCCCATCTCCCCTCCCAGGCTGCTGGGGTCAGGGGGTTGGGGTCCCCTCCCTGCTCATGGGGTGCTGTGCTGGCGGGGGGGGACCCTGCCCTGTGCATGAGCGTGGCTGTTGCATTTGTCCGTGGTTTGTCCATCGGGGTGTGCCCATCCGTCTGTGTGTCCGTATCTCAGGAAATAAAGCTCTGCACACCCAGCTCGGCTGCTCGGGGTGGTGGTGGGGGTTTGGTGGGGGGGGGCCTCCTCCCAATATAAGCTGTTTATTTCTCTGGTTTGGCACAAAAAGGAACCGGCCCCCTCCTGCCCGGCCCTGCGCCCCCCAGTCTGCCCATCCTCACAGCTCAATGGTGTCACTGGAGAGGCTCCGGCTGTCCATTGCCTTGGCGATGGCCGGGGAGCCGCGGGGGCCATCCCGTTCGCATCCCGGTGTCCCGGTGGGCGGCAGCAGCAGCGGTGCCCGGCTGGGTGCCTCATCCACGGGCAGGCTGTCTGGCGAGGACAGCCCGTGGCGCCAGGGGTTCCAGCTGATCTTCAGCGAGCTGCTGTCCAGCGAGCTGGTGGAGGCGGTGACGGTGATGGTGGCGGTGCCGGCGGGGTGCCGGGGGCCGGGCAGCTCCGTTAGCGAGCTGCACCTCACCATGCGGCCCAAGCCGGGGGTCCCGGCGGGGGTAGGGGAGCCCCGCAGCGACGGTCCGGAGCCGCGGCGGGGCCGCCCGAAGAGGCCGTCGTGCAGGAGGTGGCGGCGGCAGAGCGCCTGGTCGATGCTGCGGCGCAGGTCGATGGGGGACGGCGGGCGGAACGCCAGCTCGCCCAGCGACGGGGACGAGCCCTGCTCGAAGGCGGCGCAGGAGCGGGCGGCCGCCAGGTTGGGGCACTTGGGGCTGAGCCCCGGGCCCGCGGCGCTGCCCGCCCAGGGCTCGCTGCTGTCCTTGAGCGCCCGCAGCGGGAGCTGCCCCGCGGGGTTGCGGATGAGGCTCTTGGAGATGTCGTTGCCCGCTCCCCGCTCGGTGCCGCCGCCGGCCCAATCGTAGCAGTTGTTGGGGTACTCGGGCGCCTCGGCTTTGCGGCCGGCGCAGAAGAACCGCAGCGCCTTGGCCCAGCAGGAGTGAGCGGCGGGGCTGCGGCGGCGGCGGCAGCGGCAGCACAGGGGCTCGGTGGCGGCCACCAGCAGCGCCAGCGCCGTGCCCAGCTCCGCCGCCCGCAGCCAGAGCTGCGCAGCCCAGCCCGGCCGGGAGAACCGCGCCGGGGCGCCCAGGACCCCGCGCAGCCACAGCGCGCTGTAGAGCTGCAGCCCGCACACGGGCAGCCCCGCAACCGCCGCCGCCAGCAGCGCCCGCGCCCCGCGCCCCGCGTCCTCGGGCGGTGCCCGCAGCAGCCGCCAGCACCCGCAGAGCCCCCCCAGCAGCAGCAGCGCCCCCGCGCCGCAGCCCAGCCCCTGCAGCCCCAGCCCCAAGGCCGGGCCCAGCCGCGGCGGGAGCAGGTCCGCGGCCCCCAGCACCGCGCTCTGCAGCGCGGCCGCGGCCCCCAGCGCCGGCAGCCCCCGCAGCCACGGCGGCAGCAGCCGGAGCTGCGCCAGGCGCTGCAGGCGCTGCAGGAGGAGGGCGAAGGCGCCGAGCATCATCGGGAAGGGCACGGTGCTGAGCAGCAGCAGCGCCCGCGGGGGCAGGCGGTGCCGTGCCCCGTAGGGGTCCAGCAGCAGGAAGGCGGCCCGCAGCAGGCAGGCGCACAGCAGCAGCCCGTGGGCCCCCAGAATGTGGGGCAGGTTGAGGGGCCGCAGAGCAGCCGCCCAGGCCAGCCCCACCACGCAGCCCAGCGCCAGCAGCAGGAAGGTGGCGGCTGCCCCATAGATGTGGGTCTCCCAGGTGAAGCCCAGCTGGCGCCGCAGCTCGGCCCAGCGCAGCCCCGTCCCGTTGGACCCTGGTGATGGAGATGGGTGGCTCGGCTGTGGCGTTTGTGGCGGCTGTGGTGGCTGTGGTGGATATGGTGTGGATGGGTGCCGTGGCGCTGGTTGTGGTGTCACCGCTGCCCGCCATGCTGTGACCGAAGGGGATGCGGAGCCATGGGCAGGGGGGTTTGTCCCTGGGAAGCCTGCAGGCCGGACAAAGGGGATGGTTAGCGGTCCCTGCATGCACTCCCCATCCGCAGGGCTATGCCCCATGCCAACCGTAGCTGTGGCCAATGACACCTCTGGGGGTCTCCAGCAGGACCCCCCAGTGACATGTCCTTGGTCACATCCCTGATCCCCAAGTGGAAACCCGCTCCTGCTGGGCTCTTAGCACTAATCCCTGCTGGCAGGACTAGATTAGGGCCATTGCCCAGCGCAATCCTGATTGAAGGTGTCACCGTGCCCTGACTGGAAGGCCCAAGATAGCTGCATCCCCCCCACTAGCCCTGATGCCCCATGGATGGGCTCCCATGGTCTGTGGAGAATGGATGGTCTTGGATGCAGCCCTGCATCACCTGAGCGCCTGGTGCTGTTTGTCCCTGCGGTGGGAGGTGCTGTTGGCTGTGGGGCGGCCTCGGTGGCATTTGGGATGCTCACGGCTCCCACGGCGCCCCGGACCCGCTGCGGGGTCCCGACATCCTCCTCGGGCAGCAGCCCTGCGAGAGAGGGCAGAGCCGGGCGCTGGTACCCACAGGAGTGAGGTCCCTACCGCAGGGTCCCCCCTGCTCCTACCTGTGCCGGGGGGGTCCGTTGTGATGCTGGAGTTGGGGAGCAGCAGTGCAGGGCCAGTGCTGAGCGCAGCCCCCGGGGCAGGCTGGGGTTCCATCGGGCCGGGGTCCGTGCGAGGGGCTGCATCCCCAGTGCCCGCAGTGCTGAGGCTGAGCGGGGCCCTGCGGGTGCTGCGCTGGTGGGATGGGAACGCCCGGGTCCAGGGCTCAGCCAGCCCCAGCGATGGGGCTGCGGGGGGCAGCCGGGAGGCAGAGCTGAGCGGAGCCAGGGAGGGTACGGGGGGACCCCCCAAGTCCCCCTGCGTGCCCAATGGTTGTGTGGAGCCGGGGCTGGTGTGGGCACTGGTGCCCTTGGGGTGGGAGACAAGGCCAGTGCCCAGAGGGACCAGTGTGCCCATGGCCGCTGTGGGTCCCTCCGCCACTGATTGTCCCCCTCTGTGGGCATCTGTCCCCACCCCATTGCTCATCCCCGCTGCCGGCACGGGGGTCATGGCGATGGTGGACACTGTTGGCCGAGGGCTGGGGGTGCTGTGCCCTGCCCAGGGCGGCCCTGAGGAGCCCAGCCCCGTGTCCACGGGCACCTCAGGGCCTGGTGCCCCCAGCGCAGAGCCGTGGGGCAGCGAGGTCCCTCCTTGGGGGCTGTTCCAGCCTTTGGCCTCGTGTCCTTGCCCGGCGATGAGCATCTCCTCCGCCACTTCCGTGCTGGTTTCCGTCTCCGGGGGTGCCCCCACGGCCTCTCCTGCCCGCAGCGATGGGAACCAGCGCACGGGGCTGCTGCCGCCCCAGCGCTCGCCCCCGGGGGCCCCGGCACCGCTCGGCTCCCCGGAGGCTTCCCAGGCTGGGGACAGCCCCGGCCACCGCTGGCCCCAGGCTGGGCCGTGCCGGGGGTCCCCGCTCCGCTGCAGGGTCCTGCCTGGGGTCAGCCCCGCCGGCACCGGCCCCCGTGCACCGGCGGGGCCCCCGGCAGCCAGGAGCAGTGCCCCGGTGAGCAGCAGTGCTGCAGCCATGGTGAGTGCCAGGCGGCCCTGCGGGGATGGGGGCTCTGTGAGCTTGGGGGGCTCATGCCACCGGCCATGGGGCCACCGTGCCCTCAGACACCCATTGCTCATGGCTGTCGTGGGGACCCTTCCCAGCTGTCCCCAACCCCGGTGTCCCTGCTGCCAGTGGCCCCATTCCCGGTCTTCCTCTTCCCAGGGTCCCCATCACGGTGTCCCCAGTGCTGGTGGTCCTTGGTGCTTAGTGGTCCCTTACTCCCAGCATCCCCGGTGTCCCCATCCCCGATGCTCCATCCCCGGTGTCCCGGCGGCCCCGCTCCTGCGCGCACCGTTCACCTTGGCGCGTCCCCGGCTGAATCCCGGCGGGGATGCCCGGCCCCGCGCGCTCCCGCCGCCACCGCCACCGCCGCCGCCGCACACGGGGACGAGAACGGGGCCGGGACCGCCCGGTTGCAGCGGCGGGGCCGGTTCAGCCGCCGCATCCCGCGGGCCCCCGCCTGCCGCGGCCCCGCTGCTCGATGCTCGGTACCCGGTGCCCGGGCCCGCGGCGCGTCCAGCCCCCTCCCGCCGCCCGCCGCAGCACGGGAGGCCCCGGTGCGGGTGCCGGCCGCAGCCCCCCCGCTGACCTGCCGGTGCCGGTGCCGGTGCCGGTGCCGGTGCGGGGCCGGGCGCTGCAAGCGGAGCGGGCGGCGGCGGCAGCCGGTCACGCGCCGCCCCGAGCCGCGGGCACCCGCGCGGGAACCCGCCCGCACCGGGAGGCGGCGGGCGCGGGGGGGGGGGTTGCTGCGGGGCCGCTCGGGAGCGGCTGGAGCCGGTGTGCGGGGACCGGGAGTGGGGGAGCGGGGAGGGGCGGCGGGGGGGAGATATGGGGGGGCAGGACCCTGTGGGTGGGAGAACGGCGGGGCAGCAGTGGGGATGCTGCGGGGGGGGGACCCTGTAGGGTCCTCGGGCAGGTCAATGGGTGCCCCTGGCCCCTTCGTTCCCCACAGCTCCTGCACGGGGCAGGCAGCAGCCTGGCAGCCGCTGTGCTCTGGGGCCCTGCCAAGGGCAGGTAATTAGCTAATGAGGTAATTGTCCCGCTGGAGAGCTGCCCGCTTGGCCAGGCCTTGGGTTGGCATTGGCACGGCCTCAAAGTGACACTGGCTCCGGGCACTGCCACACAAGGTGATGCTCCCCAGAGCCACTGCAGCTGGGGCAAAGCCCTGTCACCACCGTTGCTCTCTTCTCACCCGGGCCAGCGGGGTCAGGCCAAGGGGGGATGGCTTGAACCTGCCAGAGATGAGCTCTTAGGCAGAAGCTCTTCCCTGTGAGGGTGCTGAGGCGCTGGCACAGGGTGCCCAGAGAAGCTGTGGCTGCCCCATCCCTGGCAGTGCTCAAGGCCAGGCACTTGCCTGGTGCAGGGAGAGGCTCCACTGGCTGCTGTTGCTGTTACATCTTTCTCCAGGGTTTTTGGTTGCTGTCACGGGCAGGTAGTGGGGGCTGCGGTGGTCCCTGCGTTGTACCCCAGTGCTGCTTCATCTCTGAGGTGCTGGGGAGCCTTGCCTTGCTCTGTCTCAGCAGAGAGGCTTGCAGCAGACACCTCCAGAGGTCCCTCCAAGCTCAGCCATGTGCTGCAGAGCTGCTGCCTGCAGGCCAGGACCTGAACCCATCTCCATCAACCCCACGGAGCTGGTTCTGCCCAGCACAGGCTATGCTGGGATGGAGGTGGGTAGATGATGTAAACTGCATGGCCATGATGCCATCATGCAGCCCCTCTGCTCACCCCAAGGCTCAGGGGGCTCCCCATCCGCCCCCCACTGCTTTCTCCTTGTTAGTTACCATCATTGAACCAGTGTGGAAGGGGAAGGGTGGAGGTTTCCTTCTTTAAACATCAGAGAGGAGCTGAACAAACGAATCCTCCCAGCTCCATGATCCAGGGCAGTTAAAAGAGCAGCCGCCTGCTCACCCGGGGGAGCAGGATCCTGCCTCTCCCCAAAGACCAACACAGCCATGCTTGGACTTTGGCAAGCACACAATGAGTTTATTACAGCCAAGAAAAAGGGATCCCAGCCTTCCCCCTCCAGACAGCGAAGCTGCACCGTGCCCATTCGTGGCAATGGAGCTCTTTTGTCAACACCAAATGCTGCTTTCGCTGATAACCACTGAGATTGCAAATCAGCTGTGTCTGACCTGGGTGTTTTGGGGCAGCTCCTCACCTGAGAGCTTCCTAAAGAGCAGGGGTTGTCGGCCAGCGGCTTCATCTGCTCAGTGTGAATGGCACATCTTTGGCTCCTGTTTGAGACCACTGCCCTTGGGAAGCGCACACTGGAGAATTCCTTGGTTAGCCAAGAGATGGGAGAGGCAAATCCTTTCCTGAGTTTTCTGAAACCAAGAATTTTCTGCTTGAAAGGAGAAGAAATGCAAGAACCGATGAACCCGAGGTGGTGGGATTTGGGTTTCCTCAGCGAAACTTGTTCCTGTCCAAACAAATCTGAACCTTTAACAAGAACAATGAACACTGTTGCTGCCCAGGGAGCTCAGAACGTGAACTCTGAGACACACAAACCAACATAGAGACTAAGTGAGAAACAGAAGAGTAAAGCCTCTGGCCACAGAGAGGTCATTACACCTAGCTGGAACGTTTCAGGCAGGCCTCAGTGCTGAGACTTGCTCATCTGTGCTCTGCCCTCTCCTCCCTGGTGAGTGTCTGGGTTATGCTGTGTAAATATGACTGTATTTGGAGCCCAGGGCACCTCTGCTGGGAGCAGGGAGCAAACTAATACAGATCCCATTGGCTTTCCAAGCTAAGGGGGAGTTTCCCACGCAGCCCCTTACAACAAAAGCGGGCAATAACACTTCCAAGCATCCAGGCACCTTGTTTCTGATTAAGCAGATAACACCTGCAAGGAGAAACCGATGGCACTGAGGACCCTGAAGAGGCAACAAACCCCTTCAATCAGAATAATCACTATCAAAAAATAGAGAGCAACAGCCCGTGTTCTGCTGAGGCAGCGCAGCAGCAGGATGGGGCTTCTTGGGGCTTCCAGGGCTTCGGAGGCTGAAGTAGCTCATCTGTTTTTCACCCGTGGTGCTACACAGGGAAAAGGTGTTCTCCTGAGGCGAGGAATCCAGGAGGTACCTTTTCACAATGGAAATCTTTTCTCTCTTTTGCATTTCCAAGCTTCTCTTGTCTGCAAGTTGCTGTGGGCTTTTATCTGGTGGGAAGTGCTTTGTAAGCCTCATCTGAGTGCTGAGGATGTGCTGGTTGGGAGCTGAGCTGGAGCTTCCCAAATTGAGGGCAACCTTGTACCTGGGAAAGCCATTTTTCCTGGAGCTCTCCAACTCAATAATCCCGTTTGCCTTCCTTAGCTTCAGCCCAGCCTCAGCACATCGGGAGAGCTCACCTTTTCTCACAGCAGGGCATGGTTTCTTCCTTCCCATTGCTTTATTCCAGGGGATCCTTCCTGACTTCCACTTCAGTTTGTTCCTTACAGCTGCATTCTCCACCTCGCAGTCCATGTTCCAGTTGCTGTCTCTTCTCCCAGGCACATCTTTCCACACAGGAAGGTGGGAAACTTGGGGCTGCTTCTGTCGGGATGGCATCACGGATTGGAACCCTTGAGCGCTTCTCCTGATTGCCTTCCTCAGTGGAGTGGGTCGAGGCACCTCCTGTGGTGCAGGACAGTGCTGCTTCTGATGCCCTCCCAAAAAGTGGCTGTGAGCACAGCACACGTAAGGGTGGTTGACAGAGCTCTGTGATTCTGAGCTGTGTTTCACCTCCTGCAATGAGGAGTGTTCTCTACACACCTCGGCAGCACTGGGGCTGACGTTCCCTCCTGAAGCTGTGTTGAGGTCATCTCTAGATGTGCCATCCCCAGTGACCTCGTTCCTCATGGGGGAGTCTCCGTGCTGCTCCCCCTGGCTCGTGCAGGGGAGGTGAAAGGGACCCAAAGGGCTCTCCTCACGCAGAGCACAGAGCTGGCATGGGCCAGGAGAGGTCTGGGAGGAGTTATCAGCCATGGCAGGACGGGCTTTGGCAATAGAAATGAAAGTGTGCAGCTCAGCTAAGGTGTTCGGGAGCTTCAGGAAGCCAAGTTCTTCGTACAGCTTCAGGTGCTGATCTCTCAGCTGAGCTGGCAGCGACTCCAGACCCTCCTTCAGCAGCTGGACACTGGATTTCACATCTAGAAGCTCTGCATCTTTCTGGGGAAGCAGCAAGCAGAGCACAAGCAGTCAGCAGCATGTTAAAACGTGCAAGAAGAGTATTTAAATCAGAAACGTTAAGGTACTGTGTGTCAGACCCCTTAAATTGGGTAATTAAACCAAAGATCAGCAATTTATATCTACTTGTGTAATGCATGTTCTCAAACTAGATTCAGATTGGATATTAGGAAGCTCTTCCCTGTGAGGGTGCTGAGGCGCTGGCACAGGGTGCCCAGAGAAACTGTGGCTGCCCCATCCCTGGCAGTGCTCAAGGCCAGCTTGGATGGCACTTGGAGCAAGCTTCTCTAGTGGAGGGTGCCCCTGGCCATGGCAGCAGGTTGGAACTGGTTGACCTTTAAGGTCCCTTCCAACCCAAACCAGTCTGGGATTGTACTGTCCCACAGAAGTGAGAGGCTGGGATTGGGGCATACCCCTAACCCATGGTGTGTCCTCTCCCCCAGGAGCACTGCCTCCTCATGTGCTGGCATGACATCCTTGCCAAAAGCAATTTGTGCAGCAGGGCCTTTAGAGAAGCCCGACCTGTCGAGGAGCCCTCTGACAGCTCACTCCTTCACCACTGACACCGACTTGTTCCTTCACCTCTTCTTTCCTCCCCCTGGGAAGCAGCCAGCTGCAGTGACAAGGCTCTGCACCGCTGTGAGATGCTCTCCCCTCACAGGCACGCACTGCACCACCTCCTCCAGTGAAGGCATGTGCCAGCGTGAGGAAGCAGCGCTCCATCATCACCACCTGCCACAACAGGGCACTGTTGGGCTCCCCTCTTCCCCAGCCAGGGTTTCATCAGAGCTTACAGCACTGTCAGCCAGTGCTCGCTTAAGCATCAGTCAGTATCTAGCCTAGAATTAGCATTTTAATATGTCTTTCCCTCATCATTAGAACAGGAGCAGTCTACTTCATAACCCACCATTGGAAGGCAATTGAATGTTCAGTTCATATTTTGTAGAAGTGGGAGAAATCCAGAGCGAGGGCTCAGGAAGAAAGGTTAATCTCTGCACTTACTGCTTCAAGTCTCCTCTCCATCTCCAGCAGCGCCTGCTCCGTTTGGCTTTTGTCTGTCAGAGCTTTCAGCACCAAACCACACTGACTCTGAAAAGCATCTTGCACTAAACAGGAGAATCAATAAAAACCCATATTTGGTCTTTCATTTGTAAATGTGAATAAAGCACTGTCAATACTATTGCTCTTTACTCCACGGCTCGGCATGAGATACTTCCCTGTGCTGTGCAGCCATAGTGATTTGCCTGCTGAGATCTCTCCGAGCCCCAAGCCATGAACAATAGGGTGGATGTTTAATGCGAAGCACTTGGAATTTATAAGATGCTGAGCACAGGCCAAACCTCATTTACTGAGCTCTATTAATATGGCAGCTGGAGATGAAAGGCTACGTGAAGCTGCTGAACTTGCTCTGCTCAATGCAAGGATGAGGCTTAGTTGTCTGCCAGCTGTACAAGAGGCACAGCCAGAGGGGGACCCAAGTGTGGCTGATGCACCCCAGTATAACCAGTGTTTGGGCAGCTGGAATACTGTAAGGTTGTGAGGGCCACAGCAATCTCCTGTGGAGAGGGTTTTGAATTGGAGCAAGATGCTCTTGTTGAAAAACTGATCAAAAATAGGGATTTGAGCTGTATTATTGGTCAATTCCTGCCCCCATGCAGCTGCAATTCCAGGAACCACTGCTGTGCCTAATACACTTCCAGCCAGGAATGTGATTTGCAGCCTGTGTGGGGATGAAAAACCCTTAGCAATCTTACGGAAGTCTTCCTTTAACGTCATAAGTGAGGATGGAGAGAAAGAGCTGTTCCCTAACCATTCCTGTGAACAGGCGGGAAGGTGTGTCCAGATGGTGTGGCTGGGGTGGAATGTTGGCACAGAACAGGATGCAAAGCATTCCTGCTAAAACAAAAGCCTTGCCAAGCACACGGGCCGGGATGACTGAAACTCCGGAGTCCTGGACTAGCACTGAGCAGTCGGAGTAAACCCCCCATTTCAACAAGTGGCTACAAGAGCTCTGTGATGAATTAATCCTCTTTCACTACAGACCCAATGTGCTTGATTGACTTTGGTGCTGGTGGAATTGAGAGCTTGAAGCTGTTGCTGCACGTGGAGTATTTATCGGGGCACCTCTCGCCCCAGAGATGTGTGCTCCCAGGCTGCACAGTGCTCAGGATCACTTCTCCTGCCCAGCTATTGTCATTAAGCTTGCAGGGACTTAAGTATCTTGGTGAGCTGTGCCCTCTGTCAGGCTCTAGATGGAACTGGTTAAAGAGTTAAAAACTATTAGGGAGAGGCAGGCAGAAAGGGATTGTACAGGCTTTGCTGCTGTGAGAAAACAGGGGTGTTTTTAAAAGGTACATTTGGGAAGGGAGAAAGAGATCTGAGCAATTATGGGATTACTGGTTTGTTCTCACACTGTGCAGGGTTTTAGAATAGATCTTAAGGGAACGAATACTCAAAGGCATGGGGGAAAATGGAATGAAATGGAGCAAGGTTTTACAAAAGGCGGATTGGGCCTGACTAATGTAGTGCATTAGGATGAGATAGGTGGTTTCTTAGACAAAGGCAGTGGCCTTGCTGCAGACACAAATAGAGCTTTTCAGTGGAAGCTGTCATGTAATATGAAAATAAAAAAGCTGAGAAAAATTAAGTGATTAAGCCTCAGTTAAAGGGAGAACATCAGCTCTTGGGAAGGGTAGCATGAGAGGACAAGACAGGCATGGAAGGTGCTCCTCAAGGCCTGCCCATGGGCCAAACCTGCTTAAAATCACCTGGTGCAAAAACCTGAAGGCATTTAGGTAATTAGAAGGTAATTAGAAGACATGGACTCAAATGCCAGCACCAGGGGCTGTGGTGAAATAGGGTAGTGTGGTGGGATACGGGCTTTGGCTGATGGGGAGTGCTGGAAGTCCCTGTGCACCCGTAGCTGTCCTCGTGCAAGGTAAGAGATTGAGCATGGACACGTGCAGAGGAGAGCTAGAAGATAATGAAGTGCTTAGTGATAATCTCCTCTTATGAAAGGAGATTGAAAGTGTATGGCTTATTCAGCCATGCGAAGCAGAGTTGTCTGGTGGTGTGGGGCTGGAGGTGCTGTGCTGTTGTATAGCACAGATTCTGCTTAAGAGATGCTGCTTTGCTGAGAGGAGCTGTATTTTTAACTTTATTTGCCTTCATATGAAGGAGTGATGCTTGGGCACAGCATAAGCTGTGAGAAGGAGCCCTCATCCTCACATGCATCGAGTTAAACCACCTCCTAGATGTAGGTTTGGGGGGAATTTCTTCATTTTCTCAGGGTGCTCATCACCACATGGCTTTGCCTTGTTCTCTGTAGGAGTGTGGCTGATTTCTGGGGATTATCTGCACATATTCCAGCTATAAGCTCTCTGCTGTTGCAGGCAATTTGCTTGTCCTTGCTCTTTCACTGCCATTTTTAAGCTTTTAGCCTTTTGCTCTGACAGGTTTAGACTCTTTAACAAATCACAGGGGGAAAGCTGTGGCTTGCAGAATGGGTTTGTAGTGGTTGGGGGAATGTTTGAGTGGGCCTTCAAGACCTTTGCTTAGACCTAAGAGCTACCAGGAATCTGAGAGCAGGGTTTTGCCAGCCTTATACTATATACTAGCCTGGAAGCCTTTAAAGGGGAGGAAAGCAGCAGGGACTGTAGGAGGAAACTCCTTTCACATCCCTTCATCACCTTCCACCGTGGGGCTATAGGAAGGCCAGCAGCAGTGAGCTCCCATTAGCTTTCTGCTCTTCTCCATTCACTTAATTTTAGTTTAGGACTATTTTTATACCTTTTCTTGTTTCCCTACCCTATCTGTTCTCCTACAACATGGTATCCTCTGACTAAAAATAACCCTGCATCCACTGGGCTTGTGATCTGCACATAGGTTTGACTCAGCACAGCATGCTGCAGGCAAGTAACCGGCAGCCAGGCTTTTGAATGCGCTTCGTTTGTACGTGTAGGAGTGTTCTGCAGGATAAAACCACTCTCAGCACAGGGGAGGGAGGGGCATTCTCCTTCCCTCCCTGGCTTCCATACCACGGGAGTGTTCAGGCTTGTCAAACAGTATTAAAGAAAATAAAAAATGAACATTAATCTAAGGCTTAAAATACAGGGATTGAGGGGGCCAAATGAGATCAGATTAAGGAGCCTGGTAGCCAAGTCTCTTGCCTTTGAAAATGATCAAGAACGGCTGCCTCAGAGCAAGTTTCTCTCAAATAAACCCTGCAGCAGATAGTTACTGAATAACTTGATCTCTGAGAGAAAACCTTTACTCTGTTAATGGGTGGTTTATGCACAGACTTGTGCCTCTCTAGGTATTTTACTCTAAACAAAGCAGTCTTTTTACACTGTGTTTTGATCTGCTGTAGCATGGTCTTTGGATGCTACTTGTTTCCGTTAATAACCTGAGGAATGTGAAATCTGGCATCAGAGAAAATGCTGTAGGACCCTGGGAGAGGTCTGCCCCCTGTGCTGCAGATCAGCCTGCACCCCCAGCAGCTCAGAACTCTAGTGAAAGCAGGAGCCACAGCCTCCCAGCCTGGGAATATTAAACAGCAACTCTTTCTGATGCCTATCCGTCATCTGCAGTTTGTCCTAGATTGGCACTGACAGTGCAGAGGCTGTAAATAACACTTTGGAGAGAGGTTGAGTGCAGCAGGGGAATAGGAGGTGGTACAAACCCAGTGAGACATGAGACAAGAGAGCTGTGGGGCTCAGCAGAGTGCTGTGTTTTCTGCCTGGGCAGTAACTGAGCTGTATGCCAGTGAGTGAGGCATTTGGGCTGTCACAGCTGCATCCTGTTCGGATCATTGCCAGTCACTGCATGGCTCATTAGCAGCTGCATGGGAAAGGTGTTTCTTTTATGAACTTTAAATCTTGGCTTTTCAATCCGTAGGGGACTTAAATCCCAGACTGATTTGGGTGGGAAGGGACCTTAAAACTCATCCAGTTCCAACCTCTGCCACAGGCAGGGACCCCTTCCACTGGAGCAGCTTGCTCCAAGCCCCTGTGTCCAACCTGGCCTTGAGCACTGCCAGGGATGGGGCAGCCACAGCTTCTCTGGGCACCCTGTGCCAGCGCCTCAGCACCCTCACAGGGAAGAGCTTCTGCCTAAGAGCTCAGCTCAGTCTCCCCTCGGGCAGGTTCAAGCCATTCCCCTTGTCTTGTTCCTACAGGTCCCTGTCTAAAGCTCCTCTCCAGGTTTCTTGTTGCTCCCTTTGGGCACTGGGAGCTGCTCTAAGGTCTGAGGAGTCTTGAAACAAGCCATGTTTCAAAACTGCCCACCAGGCCCTGGATTTTGTCAGAGAATTGCATCAGCTTCTACCTCTGTGAGGGACATGTTGCACGTTATTGTGTCACCCTTGCTGGCAGGAGCACCAGAGGATTGCCTGTGGAATGCTGGCTGGGTATATGCTTGTCATTTGCAGTGGAGTCAAGGTGGTGTGGAGGACATGGTTGTTAGGAACTGTCACAGCTGGAACTGCCAGACAGCAGGAGAGCAACGCAGTTCTGAGAGGGCTGAGTTGTGGAAAACGGGATTTGTATGGAAAAAAGCTAGAAAGTTTTGCTAGAAGTGGGGGTATATGAATAAAATGAGAAAAGCACAAAAATCATGAGTTAGAAGACCTGAAACCAGAAGGAAAGAGCAAATGATGAGCAGGTAACTCAATCAGGTGGAAGAACTGAGGGCGTGGGGTCTGCTTGCCTCTCCCCATCCCTGTGCACAGCACACCAAGATGTGAGCAAGGAACAGAGCAACTGTGGGAGCTACTTGGGCAAACAGTGCCTCATCTCCAGTGTCAGACACAGCTCCATGCACTGTGTGCAAGCACATATGGACAAACACTCCATGGAGAGCAGTTTTTATAGCTCTTCCTACATGGAGCATGCCAGACCAAGAGCATTTGGAAATCTGTGCTGAAAAATATTGTCTGTTTTGTTCTTGCCCACTGGCTCTGGAGGCTGCCAAATGTCTTGCTCCCCACTGCTATAACTGCAGCCTGCCATACTCTATAAGCTTTTAATGAAGACAGGCTTGATTTCAAGTTCCTCCTTTCTTTGTTTTGCAGATCTGTTTCATGGTCCTGGTGTGCTACTTCTTGCCTTGAAAAGAGCCTCTTCATCTTCTGCATTCCTCTCCTACATGTGAGGTCTCCTACTGCCAATGATCTACTGTGTCTCTCCCATGTCACCCACATCCTGAGGTACTGTATGATCAGCCACTGTCATTTCGTGCTTTAGCAGCTCTGAATGTAGCACATTATCACCTGAGTTTAGGAAGGGAATTGCCTCAGTTGTGATCTTTTCAAGGCACTAGGGCAGGTATTTATTTAGTGGGAGCTTAATTACCCATTGCTGTGCTAGAGTCAAATGGCAGCATTTATCAGCAATTAAGCAGTGACAGATGAACCTCCCCTAAATATAAAAAGAACAACATTGTGGAGCATGTAATGATTTTCATTATAGATTCAGCATTCTGCAGCATGATACATTGCAGAAAGAGCCAATTTTTCTTTTCAATTGCTTTGAAAATCTAGCAGCAGGCACCTCTGGGAGGCTTCTCATTTCATTCAAGGCACATTTATTTAAAATGAGTACGGAGAAGAAACAGGACAGCTGAGCAAATGGTATGGAATGAAAAGGGGGAATTGCGAACAACAGATCTGATTTTCAGTGCCATGACAACAATTTCTGTGTATAAGGTGTATGAAATCAGGCAAAGCCTTGTCAGAGAGTGGGTGAGTTGAGGTGCTGAAGGAATTAGGAGATGGGCAAATGCATAATGGGAAGCTTGTGCTGGCCAAAGCAGACAGATTCTTGCTTACCTTAAGGCCTCGTTGAGAGCACTTGCCAAGCACAGCAAGGGAGTGTTCTCGGTATAACAGGATTGGTATTTCAGACTATCACAACCTCCAGCAGAATGAACCAGGCTCCACTCTTTCTGCCTGAGAGGCCTGTGCTGACTTAAAGGGTATCTGTCGAAGCTGTGCTTCATGGAAGCTGCGTTTTATCACCCAGTAAATATTATAATGCTTTTGTGAAGGTCTGCTACCTTGCTCTCACAAGGTATAGGATGCACTGAAGGCTTCTTGCTCTTGCACAGAGGACAAGCACTGAGCAATGTCCTGACAGGGTCTTGATAAAAAATCACACCAGCATTAAAGATTAATGCCCTCTCAAAGGCTCAGGCATAAGGCAAATTAGAAACAATTTCTCTGAAGCACTTTCCCTCCACAAAGACTGCTGTGACAAGCCTCTTCAGAGACAGGGCTGTTCTAAAGTGGTTTACACTACTGGCTTTGTGGGGAGATCACCTTCTTGTCATGGCAATAGCATGCTTCCCTATCTGCTTCTTAAGAAATGAGCAGTACTAGTTTTGTTCCTATCTAAAATACGACCACTTCAAGCCACAGAGAGGAGCAATGGAAGGCTTCAAACTAACACATGAAAATCTGAGAAATCCTGAAAAACTGAAAGTGGATATTTGGGATATAAATATCCAAGTTATTTTTACTGTGTTTTCCACTAGAGCTCCACATAGTCTAAAAATGATGATACTCCAGGCAGAACATGAAAACATGGAAGTGCATTTATCTGTGCATGGTATCTAACCACGGAACACCTAAGTTCCTTGACACAAGAGAGCAGAGAAAAGGAAAATATAAGATAGAAAACCAGACAAGTGCATGTGATGGATAAGTCTCATTTACTCTTCTCCCTTGGGAAGAGCAGCTGTGAGTGGCATGACCTGCCTAGTTCACCCCCTCTTGCAGACAACACGCTGACATTCAGCAGTTTGACTGTGCCCTCTGCTGTTAACAGAAATACAGAAAGGACTTGCGTGTCTTGGAGATGGTTTCTAAGTGAGCCAAAATGGATTTGTTTCTTGAATCCAACATTTCTCCAAACTGGTCCAAGCATCCTTGCAGCTGCAAAAACAAAGGTAGAGGGAAGAAAATTAATACATTACCCTTTTTTTGGTGTCAAAACCACAACCCCAAATGCTTCAGAATAACAACTGCAACTCATGGAATGGACCTCCCTGAAAAAGGTGATTTATCTGTTCAGCTTTGGTTGCAACCCCACAGGAGATCTGGAATGGCTCATGAAATGTTGCAGACCTCTTAAGAGGTTGCAAACTAGAGATACTGATCTGTAAAACAGCATTAATAGTAACATTGAACAATTATAAATATGTTAGGGGGAAGACCTTTACCTTCACACAGTAAGACCACATTGACTTATTCCCAAGAGTAGACTTTCTTCAGGCAGAAGGAAACAGGAACTAGTATTAGCAGACAGCCATCACAGCCTGCTCTTGCTCCTGAGACCCAGAGAAACCCTACTGAGGACTTTGAGGCAAGGCCCTAAAGACCTTGACCCTGTGGACAATCCACAGAGACAATGGTCTATATAAAAACCCCTGACAGCCATTGGTTTAAAGTAGTGTAATAATGGAACTAGCACAGTAAATGAGAGAAGGTGAACGTTCTGTAGCATTTCTAGCTCATTATTCTGCAGTCTGAATTTGAATTAACTTACCCCTTGAAGCCTGTCTTTGATACTGGAAATAAAGGTGCTTAAAACCTCACTAAAATTGAAAAAAAACAACAAAACCAAATGTAAACCAGACATGTATGTTACTGAAGTAGACAGACATTGAGAAGATCACAGTAAACATGAGACATGAAACACTGCAAGGCGTAGTGTAGTGCATAATGTAAGCACAGAAACATGCTTACTGCGGGGCGGGGGGGGGTGGATGGACATGACTTTTTGAAATCACCTTATTTGTTTTAGGAAAGCAGGGGCTCTGATGTGTAGAGTAAGGAGAAACCCCTCTATATACCATGCATGTTTATGTCATGTACATGGAGTTGGGTTTTTAACTCTTCCATGTTTGGCCTAGCGTTTGTGCCTCTCTCAGAAGTTTTAGTTGGCATTTCCACAACTGTCCCTTAGGTGCTGGGGTGTCACCACAGCTCTATCTGCTCCGGAAGGACACAACCTTGGCAAAGGTGACATGCCAATTGCTGGGATACATGGATGTTGTACTTGGATTAAATATCTGTGGGAAAAACATGGGAAAAGCTTCAGTGTCAACAAAGCCCAAGCCAGGAAGAACAAATACTGCAAATCCTTTTCTCTGTGGTCTCTGTTATCCATCCTTTTGAGTGAGCCTGTGTTCATGATTAACCCACCAAACCAAAGCCTAAGCAAAGTGATAACCTATTTCCTCTCTGAAGATTCAGGTAATTTAAAATCCGTCCTTTAGTGATCCAAATTGCAGCAAGAAAAAGGTGGAGGCCAGGTAGAATCTAGTTATGAGAATTAGGAGGGCTTTCTGAAAGCTTTCTAGCCTTATGTGAAAAGAAGATATTAATTTGATTAGTCAAACTTGCAGGTGATACAAATTGATAATTTGGGAGTGAGTTTGTAGGGTAGGAAGGAGCATAATGAATTTGAAGAAGAAATAAAGGATAATTAAAAGTTCTGCCTGAACAAAAGCTATTGGTTCATTTCTCCTAATTTGCTTACAAAAATCCTCCTCTTCTCCACTAGGGACTACAGAATCAACTTCACCTTATCAGAAACAGTGCCCATCGCAAAAGAGAAAAGGATACGTAGCTGGATTTGATCACAGGTATTAATAACAATGCATTTCACTTTGGATATTACTTTACAAAATGTACAGTGCTAAGAATTATTTATAGGTGCACTGGGAAGTTTGCCATCTTTCATTTCTGAGCTTCAAACAGTTTGCTTGTTCCTTAAGGTCCTTCTGGGCCTACTTGACCATTTCATTCTTAACATCTGACAAAGAGCAGAGGCAAACCACAGGGAGCACATTCCACTTGCCTGTTACCAAACCACAGGATATAAAAATCTTGTTTACAAGTGAAATTCTAGAGACGTGCTGATTTAAAAAGGGGTAATCATTGCATCTTCCACTGCACACAAGTATGCTTGGCTATCTCCGCATTTGGCCTAAATGCAAAGGCTGTCCTCAGAGCCCCTTCAGTCAGTCCCAACACAGTGTATCATTTGAGAAATGTGGGTTTTCACAGGGAATCAATAGCGAAAATCCCCTGCTGATGAGATAAAGAAGGATAAAGGTGAAGTCAGGTTAGAGTTGTGTTATTGCTTGTGGTTTATGGCTGAGTGCGTTACATAAATCACATTGCAAATAAACCCTGTTTAAGATCTTATCCTGTGGCTCTTTCCAATCAGAGACTGTTTAAAACCTGAAAAGATACTTTTCATGGAGAAATATGCAGCTCTGTCATGTATGACTTTGAAGAGGGGAAGAAGGAGCTGCAGGGAGTGCTAACCACCAGCACAGAAAGGATTTCCAATGGATGCTTTACATACCGATCGTATTTGTCCTTTATTTTGTTCTTATTCGCTTCAAAACTTTCCAAGATATTTTTCACTCTTCCTGCACCAAAATGAAGTGAAGCTTTTTCTTTTATCTCTTCATCAAATAACTGTGGTTTCTTCTGGTATTTGGTGAAAATACTGGGCTCAGTCTGTTGCACAAAAGGAAGAAAAACTGTTGGAGTATAAAAATAACCAGAACATTCATTAGGGGGAAAAAAACCTCCGCAAACATTTGTTTCCCGAGTGCATTGCAGACAGGTCACGGTGATTGGATGTGACAGATTAGATTGGATGGGATGATTAAGAATTTCATGAGATTATGCCTCACTTATCATGCCTGGTTAGATCAACTCTCTGTGGAAATGAGATCCAGCCCAAATGCCTCCAGACTCAGGCTTTTCTCTCATTTTGGGTATTTTCAGTTGGTTACAATGATGAGGTGTGCAGATTTTCACTCTCTGTATGCTAAATACAGAGACTATAAAGGAATCCTGGTGTTTTGGGGCAGGAACGACTCCTTGATTGCTCCAAGCCCCTGTGTCCAACCTGGCCTTGAGCACTGCCAGGGATGGAGCAGCCACAGCTTCTCTGGGCACCCTGTGCCAGCGCCTCAGCACCCTCACAGGGAAGAGCTTCTGCCTAAGAGCTCATCTAAATAGATAGACATAGACAACATAAGTACCAAGTTATCTGACATGACTAGAACTAGTTACCACTTGGTTTTATCATTTTCCATTGGCTTTGAATGGAGGCTGTGGGCCTGCATGGGGCTGAAGGAGGGTGAGACTCACATCCTGGGAGTTGCGCTTTCCCGGCTGTGTGCCCAGCTCCAGCAGAGCTGCTGCCGACTGCACATTCTCCGGGCAGAACTGGGAGCCAAAGAGCAGCTGAGAGTCACTCAAACTCGAGTAGTCACTGGGAGTGCTGCTCCGGACGGAAAACTTATTTGACCTGCAATGGGGCAGAGCGGGTTGTGAATGGGTATTGAGCAATTCAAAAGGCAAACAGAATTCCCTGCACAACCTGCAGGAGCCATTCAAGCAAGACCCACCCCAACGTGTCTGTTTTCACTCTACTGTTCCTCTAACTGCATAATGTTTAACAGCATGTGGTTTTGTTACTCAAAGCCAACAGGTTTATCTTAAACTGTGTACAAACACGGTGTGCGAGCTCTGCAGTCACCTTGCAGGGTTAAAGTGTTTCCCCAGCATGTTCTACAGGCAGAAGACCAAACCCAGGACTGACCAGTTCATCCTACCTGCTTTGCTGGCTAGTGTTACTTTCAGGCACACTGTGGGGTTTGCCCCCAGCAAGTGCCAGGTTACTCTCTTGTCACCACCTGGATAATAATTCCTGTTGTAGCTCATGCTGCTTGGTGGATTTGGAAGGCAGTTCCAACTGAGTAAACCTTTCTGACTGACAGTTGACATTTCTTGGGCATTTATTCTCTAGATGCCTTAAGTCTGCTACGCTGGAACAACAAATAAATGGGTAGCATATGGCTGGACAAATTGATCTGGGTTGTCAGAAATATTTCAGATGTAATTATACACTACTCAGAAGTTCTTTGTTTTCCCCTGAGTGCCTCCCAGATGAACCTTTTCCAGCCAGCCTTGACTTTGTGCTGTGTTGCTCTGATTCTGCTTCTCTTCAGAGACACAGCTTCTACTGCTTTATGGACTAGGCTCAGAGCGCTGTACCAGCTTCCCTTAGACAAGGGTTTCCCTATGCAGCTGCAGCATTACTTCTCCTTGTGTCAGGGGCTGGTTTTGATTCTTTGCTAGCAAAGATACAGACTCTTAATTCTTCACGACTGCTATTCCATTGCTCCACGTCTGCAAGGTCTGATGGGGTGCGAGGTCCAAATGTTAGAAAAGCTGGGCCAGGTTTATACTCTCAGTTCTTGCTGGGTTTTAAGCTATCAAAATGGAGAGGTGTGTTGCTGCCTTTGGCATTACAGGACAGTATCAATGAAAAGACTCTTACACAGGGTTTTCTTTCCATATCACATCATAGAAGTGAAGAAGGAACAGGGGACTAATTCAGGCGTCTAACAAAAGATGATCACCCCGACAATTATTAGCAGTGACATGTCCTGTTAATCCCCAGTTTTGGAAGGAGCCCAAACATCATATACACAACAGGGCAGGGATTTAGTAGCAGTACTTGAACTGCTTCGTTTCCCTCTTTATTTAATGGTGTCAGTGACAATATCGTATTAAAACTTTTGGCTTTAAGCTCAGTGAGTACACTGAGCCGCAGGCAAAAATAGATGAGGTATGTATGGGCCTCTGGAGCCGTAAAAAGCCTGAGAAATCTGTCTGAATTCAAAGCTTCCCCCTTGATCTGTCTCTGGGCCCAAATCTACTAAGAAAAGAATCTGAACACAACTTTCACCAGCACAGCTTCTTGTTCCCATCTCAGATCAGCTTTGGGAAAGCCCCCCAAAC